AGAGGGCAGCCAACTCCTTCTCCAACACAATCACCATTTGCAGCGTGTTGGGCTGAATCACATCACGCAGTAGCTTCCACGCCTTCGGTCCGGAATCATCCAGCTCCACCAAATCCTTGATGTGTTAACACATGTCGTTGTTGACATATTGAAGGATTAGGTCGTACAGTACCGCGCTCTTCTCAATCCACCGATGCCTCGATCTTGGATTGTGGCGGCTCATTCCTCTTCTCAGCTGCATCTCAACTCTCTTGACTCATTTCCTCTGCTCCCAATCACAGGTTCCGGCTCCCCCTTTGCTGTCCACACCGATGTCCCACTCAATTTCCACAAGTGTCGGCGCCAAGAAAATTTCGGCAGAGTTTCCTCTTAGCGGAAGTCACATGCAACATCCAGAACTCCACTTAGGCACGCCCACAGGCCCTGGTGGGTCTAGGAGGGTCTTCACACTTTAGTAGACTCTCCACAAAGTCCTTAATGAAACTAAGATATGTTTTAGCTCTAGTCCATGGCTACAATTCCCAATTTGAATCGTACAGAAAGGTGAAGTATTTTTTGAGTTAACACAAGAAAGTTGGAGTGACTAGGAAGGGATGAGGAGGACGAGAGGGAAGGTTCCCAAGGAGCCCCAACCAAGGAAACCCCATAAGCACAAAGATTCCCTCCCTATGGGCACCCCAACTTTGACCTTTGTCACTTTCCCAACCCATGCCATCCACCTCACCCAACTTGGCCACACCTGCAAAACTAGTTTGGCTTCTCCCAACCACTTGGCATCAACTACAGTGATGGGGACGAATTTCCCAACCCCAAAAGTCTGTACCCCATATTGAGTCACTTCACAACTTCCCAAAGTCGTCGCATCCCAATCAAAACTTCCAACGAACATAACTCCGTCGTTCTTGCTCCGATCGCGACGATTCTTGGTTCGGCTGAAAGCTCTTGGGCAGAGGAGTCACTTCAGATATCTTCCCAAGCAAAATGGTATTCACACACACTCAGAACATCCAAACCACACCAAACACCATTCTTGCGCACGCTCACACCACGCATGCAATGCACAAACATAAAATGGGAGGCACACAGACGTGAACGCAAATGATAGCATCACATAACACAGCAGGCCAGTTGGTCCAACTGGTCCAATTGACCAACAGGCCAGCTGGTCCAGCCGGTCCAATTGATCAACAGGCCATTTGGTCTGGCCAGTCCATTGAACCAACGTCTAGTTGGTCCGACCGGTCCATTGGACCAACAGGCCAGCTGGTCCAACTTGTCCAATGGACCGACAGGCCGGTTGGTCCAACCGGTCAAATGGACCAACAGGCCCGTTGGTCCAAGCGGTCCACTTGACCAACAGGCCAGTTGGTCCAACCGGCCCATTGGACCAACAAGCCAGTTGGTCCAACCGGTCCAATTGACCAACAAGCCAGTTGGTCCAATCTGTCAATGTACCAACAGTCCAGTTGGTCCAACTGGTCCAATTGACCAACAAGCCAGTTGGTCCAACCGGTCCATTGGACCAACAAGCTAGTTGGTCCAACCGATCCAATGGACCAACAGGACCGCAGGTCCAACCGGTCCACTGGACCAACAGGCCAGTTGGACCGACCTGTCCATTGGACCAACAAGCCAGTTGGACCAACCTGTCCATTGGACCAACAGGCTAGTTGGTGCAATCGGTCCATTGGACCAATAGGCCAGCTGGTCCACCGGTCCAATTGACCAACGGGCCAGTTAGTCCAACCGGTCCAGTTGACCAACATGCCAGTTGGTCCAGCCTGTCCAATCGACCAACAGGCCAGTTGGTCTAGCTAGTCCAATTGACCAACATGCTAGTTGGTCCAACCTGTCCAATTGACCAACAGGCCTGTTGGTCCAACCGGTCCAATTGATCAACGGGCCCGTTGGTCCAAGCCGTCAAATGGACCAACAGGCCAGTTGGTGCAGCCGGTCCAATTGACGAACAAGCCAGTTGGTCCAGCCGGTCCAGTTGACCAACAAGCCAGTTAGTCCAACTATTAGAGACTAATGACCGAGTCTAGGAAGATTAAGAGACGAAATATCTCAAAACCGTTGGACTAATTTTCAGGCCAGAAAGTTCACTGTTAAAGCTTCCTCAAACTAAGATATGTTGTAGCTCTATTGCCAGTTTGAATTGCATGGAAAGGTGAAGTATTTCTTGAGTTATGAATTTCGGCGCACTAGGGGGTTTTCTGCCATTGAAACTTAACTAACTCACGATTGTATCACAAGTACCACACAAGAAAGTTGAAGTAGCTAGAAACCAGGTGGGAGGGAAGAGGAGGACGAGAGGGAAGGTCCCCAAGGAGTCCCCAACCAAGGAAACCCCATAAGCACATCAAATCCCTTCCCTGTATCAACCCCACTTTTACTTTTGTCACTTTCCCAACCCATGCCATCCACTTCACCCAACTTGGCCACACTTGCCAACCTGGTTTGGCTTCTCCCAATCACTTGGCATCAACTACAGTGATGGGGACGAATTTCCCAACCCCCAAATGTCTGTACCCCATATTGAGTCACTGAACAAACTTCCCAAAGTCGTCGCATCCCAATCAAAACTTCGAACGAACATAACTTCGTCGCTCTTGCTCCGATCGCGATGTTTCTTGGTTCATCGGATAGCTCTTGAGCCGAGGAAGTCACTTCACATATGTGCCCAAGCCAGATGATATTCACACACACTCAGAAAATCCAAAACACACCAAACACAATTATTGCGCACGCTCACACCACGCATGAAATGCACAAAACATATGATGGGAGGCAGACAGACGTGAATGCAAATGATAGCATCACATAACAAACTCCCCCACTGGCTGCCTACCATCATCCCACATGCCTCAGCTCAAACATGCACCCTCGATGCACACTCATCCCAGCAAGCTTCATGCCCTTCAAATGCTCGGGTTCAGCAAGGCGCTTGGTCAGAATGTCAGCAGCCTGTTGATGGGTTTTCACAATCTCCAGCTGCACCTCCTTGTCCAGGAGCCTTCTCACCTAATGCCACTTAGGCCTGATGTGTTTGGTCAGCCCATGAATTCAAGCATTCTTGGCTAACTTCACTACCGACTCATTGTCACAGAAAATCTTAGTCGGCTCCTTCTGGCACCCACCGATCTCCTCCAACAAGTGCCTCAGCCACACCACCTCTTTTGCCCCATGATGCAGGGCCATGTACTCTGTCTCACATGAAGACAGCCCCACCTTGTTCTGCATCTTGCTGCGCCAGCTCACTGCACCACCTCCAAACAGGCACACATAGCCTCCAATGCTGGTGCCATCCGTTCTCACATAGTCGAAGCTAGCGTCGGTGTAGCAAGTCAAGAGCATCTCCCCCTTGCTCAAGTCAGCTGCACCCCTTTGCAGCCTTTGCGCACGCTCACACCAAGTATGCAATGCCCAAACATATGATGGGAGGAAGACAGACGTGAATGCAAATGATAGCATCACATTACACCAACCGGTCCAATTGGACCAATAGGCAAGTTGGTCCAGCCGGTCCATTGGACCAACATGGCATTTGGACCAACCTGTCAGTTGGTCCAACTGGTCCAATTGACCAACAGGCAAGTTGGTCAAGCCGGTCCAATTGACCAACACGCCAGTTGGTCTAGCCGGTCCAATTGACCAACAGGCCAATTGGTCCAGCCAGTGATATGACCAACAGGCCAGTTGGTCCAGCGGGTCTGATTGACCAACAGGCCAGTTGGTCCAGCTGGTCCATTGGACCAACAGGCCAATTGGTCCAACTGGTCCAATTGACCAACAGGCCAGTTGGTCCAGCCGGTCCATTGGACCAACAGGCCAGTTGGTCCAGCCGGTTCAAATGACCAACAGGCGAGTTGGTCCAACCGGTCCAATTGACCAAAAGGACAGTTGGTCCAACCGGTCCAATTGACCAACAGGCCAGTTGGTCCAACTGGTCAATTAACCAACAGGTCAGTTTGTCCTGCCAGTCCACTTGACCAACAGGCTAGTTAGTCCAGCCGGTCCAATTGACCATCAGGCCAGTTCGTCCAACCGATCCATTGAACCAGCAGGCCAGTTGGTCTAGCCGGTCCAGTGGACCAACGGGCCAGTTGGACCAACCTGTCCATTGCACCAACAGGCCAGTTGGTCCAGCCGGTCCATTGGACCAACAGGCCAGTTGGTACAACCGGTCCATTGGACCAACAGGCCAGCTGGTCCAACCAGTTAATTGAACTAACTGGCCAGTTGGTCCAACCGGTCCAATAGACCAACAGGCCAGTTGGTCCAATTGGTCCACTGGACCAACAGGCCAGTTGGACCAACCTGTCCATTGGAACAATAGGTTATTTGGTCCAGCCGGTCCAGTGGACCAACAGGCGAGTTCGTCCTGACGGTCAATTGGACCAAAAGGCCAGTTGGTCCAACCAATCCACTAGACCAACAGGCCAGTTGGACCAACCTGTCCATTGAACCAGTACGCCAGTTGGTCCAGCCGGTCCATTGGACCAACAAGCTAGTTGGTCCAACCAGTCAAATGGACCAAGGGTTTTAGGGTTTAGGGTTTAGGGTTTAAGGTTTAGGGTCCAATTGAGTGCGCCGAAATTGATAAGTCGATATTTACTTCATCTCTTGATACGATTCAAATTGGGAATTGTAGCCACGGAATATGGCTACAATATATCTGAGTTTGGTGAAGGTTTGACCGTGATCTTATCGTCGACGGCGTTTCTTGTGAGCGCGACTATTCTGTCCAGAAATTGAGACCAACGATTTTGTGATAGTTCGGCTCCTAATCTTCATAGACTCCGTCCTTAGTCTTTAACAGTCCCCAGCTGCCCAACGCCCGCAACTCCTCCCCTCGCGGGCGCACCCAACACGCCAGGAGCTCCGCGAGCCGATCCGCGGCGTCAAGACACTCGTCCCGGAAACCGCCATCCAGGGAGTTCCCACGGGATAGACCCGCGTGACCGTACATCTGGACCAGATGAACAGCCCGCAGGCCCTCAGAGAGGCGCCACAGCTGCCCAAGGGTCGCCTCCGGAACCTCTGCCACACGGGGGGGACCCACGAACGGCAGGAACGGCGGCGCAGCACCAGCGGCCTGGGGAGCAGAATCACCAGGCAGAAGGGACGGATAAGGAGCAGGGGGGCCAGGAGGATGAGGAGCCACCGCCGCCGGTGCATTCACAGGAGGAGCAACACGAGGGAACCGCTGGTTCGCCTGTAGGGCCCTCTCCTCGCGCATCGCAGCCGTTACAACCCGCTGCAAGTCAGCCATCGTCAACGGCCCATCAAACGCCCCACCACGTCCACGTCCGTGACCTCCCCTCCAGCCCCCTCGCCCACCCCGTCGCGTGTGCCAGTTCCTGCCCGGTGAACGGCGCTGAGGAGACTCCTGCCGACGCCAGGAGGATTCCCGCTCATCTTGCGAGAAGGGCGAATGGGGTCATGGTGGGCGGCGATCGGGAGACTGCGGACGACACGGCTGCCCCGAGGAGCTGCAGGCGCCGAATGAACAGCCTCGGCAGGCAACACCGCAGGGGCCGGGCCGCCAATGGTGGCGGACACCGCCGCAAGCGCCAAGTCGCCGCCAAAAGCAACAGGGGCAGCGGCGACCAGCGGAGCGGCATGGACGCGGGCAACTGGTGGCGCAACAGCAGGATCAGCGGCAGCAGTTGGCACCGCAGGGTTTACAGGGGCAGGCGGCGCAACATCAGGAGCAAAGGGTGCAGAGGGTGCAGGAGGATCCGGAGCGGCAGCAGGAGCAGATGGGACAGGCAGGAGAGACGCCGGAGCGTCAGCCGCCACGTGGCATGGATCCAGAAGCGCAGAGACACCAGCAATGGAGTGCGCCGGCTTCGGGGCAGGAGGGACTGGCGGCTTCATTGCAACACTCCCCAATGCAGACGCAGGCGGGGACCTTCCGCTCGCCGCTGACGCAGCGGCAGCGGGCTTTGGCAATGGCCACGAGTCACCAGCAATCACCATTGCGAGGCGGGAGGCGACGCGGAGCAGGACGTCGAGAGGGCCGCGGAGTCGAAGGTGGACCAGAGAACGCGTTCCAAGCAGCGGCACGAAGGGCTTTAAACTCTATGATTGAGAATGAAGAACGCGCAGACCCGACTTATGTAGCGGATGCACAAGCATCGAGCAGCAGTAGTGAGGGAGAAGCAGAGGAGGAGGAGGTGAGAGAACAAATGGGGAGGCGAAGTGGAGTGACTCAGAGAGGAACTGAGGAGCAGTCAGGAAGCAGACACCAGCCACAGGATGGTGATCGGACGGTCACCATCCCAACCCCTATGCCTATCCGCACCCCAAGCCGCGGACGAGCGAACCGAACCGCAAGGGGTCAAGCGAATGCGGCCCGACAGTCCCAAAATTCTCGCTATTACTCACCAGAGGAGCTGGCTCTGCAAGCGGAAAAGTTCGTAGAAGTGGCGAACTGGGACATGTCACCACTCTGCGATAGTCGCCAACCGCCACTGTTACGACGGCTACCGCCCAATTTATGCGAAATCTTCGCGCTTGTAGTGCTGACACCTCTTCTACACCTCTCGCGAAGCCCGGGCTCTGTCGCAGGTTGGCGGTTATTGCTATTCCTCCCACACCTGACATTGTGGCAAATTTCGCCGAGGCGACCGGATTGGCCAAAAATCAAAGCCCGGCTCCGCGCATTTCAACGCGGCGAATGGCAGGAGTTCTACCAGGACGCGGTGGAAGCAGTCAACACGCCACCCCCGCCACGTCACCAACCTGACGATCTTGGCACAATCAACAGGGCAGAAGGCCTAGCGAAGAAGGGAAGCCTACGCCGAGCCGTGATGGCGCTCGAGTCAACCCCAGTCTGCACGCCGAGCCCCGAGATTCTGGACGAGCTCCGACACAAACACCCACCTGCCGATCCTGACCCTCTGACCTGGCCAGCCATCACCGAACCAGCCAGTCCTGAAATTCCGTCCGCGGATTTTACGAAACTGCTCAGCCGGTGCGAGAACGGGGTAGGGGCCGGTCCGAGCGGAATGACATTCGAACACCTACGCGACACGTCAGTGACAAATGCATCTGTCACCACCCATCTGCACGCCCTAGTAAAAACGATTCTGCGAGGAGACCTGCCACCGCCCGTAGTGCAACTGCTCACATCATCGCGCCTGATTGCCCTGGCAAAGCCGGAAGGTGGGGCCCGCCCGATGGCTATTTTCTGCCGCTACAGTACGGAGTGGCTATGCCGGGGGGGGCAGAGGCAATCATTCACAGCTCATGAGCGTACACGGACGCACATCCGAACTGCCTTATACTGCAAACAGACATCTCCAACGCCTTTAACAGCATAAAGCGACAACCAATTATTACAGCGTTGCAAGACCACTACTACCACTGGTCAAACTGACCTACGGCCAACCATCATCTCTAATCCTAGACGCAAGCTTCAACAGCCAGCCGCTGACTAGTGAACGCGGGGTACGGCAGGGAGACCCCTTAGGCCCGCTTCTGTTCGCGGCTGGGATTCACCCTGCCCTGAGATCAACAGCAACAGCATACCCTGGGGTACTGTGCCTGGCATACGCCGACGACGTGACCTTTTTGGGCGACCCGCGCGAAGCTGTAGCAGCGTTTACACACATCACAGACCAACTGGACCAAGTAGGACTACGACACAATCCGTCCAAATGCGTCGCGTGGTGCAGTCAGCCGATAGATACAGCGGTACAGCTGCCGCTCGGGGTACCGATCAGTGACGATGGCGTTAGAATCCTAGGCAGTTACCTAGGAACATCGAACGGAGCCGCCGCCTTTCTCTCCGCGCAGCTGCAGTCCATGTCTAAACCGCTACCACTGCTCGAACGTACGGACCCGCAGGTAGCAGGCCTCTTGCTCACACGCTGCATTTCGCGCCGAGTAGCATACCTCACACGAACAACCCCATTGCATCTCCTGGAACGTGACACTTGGTCACAATAGGGTAGGGACTTGCTTGCTACCCTTCTCACGGCGTGCGGCATACGTTTTCCAACAGATAGCGCAAAACAGAGCCGTGTCTGGGAGCAATCGTCACTGCCACCGTCCCCAGGCGGAAAAGGACTTGCAGACCCCACGGTAGAAGGAACTTTTGGCTTCATGGCCAGTTTTACACAGGCCGCCCTCCTCCTTAGCCAACTACCACTAGAGCCGGGAGTAGCCTTGACAGCCGTACGGGACCATATGCTGCTGCCGCGAGATACAAGCACGCCCCTACACCAGTGGTTGACGGAATGCGAAACAGCACTACCCGAGGAAGCGAGGGAGATCCTAGTCAAGGAGAGACTTAAACCGACTGGGCTGAAGCTACAGCACGAGCTAGGGGTGAGAGTACAGGGGGGCAGATATGCCACGCAAGTCCAAGCAACACGGCATATGGATCTGAACCCCCTGTCAGGTCATACACAAAGATTTTTCTCTCTGACAGGGTTCGGCACTGGGGACTGGTTGACAGCCATACCAATAGAACCAACCCGCCGTATAGGACCAGAGCATTTCTCCAACGCTGTCCGCTTTAGACTCGGGCTGCCCTTCTCTACACCTCGAAAGTGTGACTTCTCGAAACATGTGGAGATCAAGGACCCACGGCTGCCAAATCACCTCTTCCGCTGCGGCACGGGCAAGCATAGGATCAATACCCATAACGAGCTGCGGGATGCGTGCATTACGATGGCAGAGGATGCTGGCTTCATAGTGCACAGGAAGTCAGCAGCCTACTGCCCCATAGAAGAGCAGACAGCGGACTTCACTATGCGTGACAGGAGCTCGGGAACAGTCTACGCGTGCGACGTCACCATCACGGATCCCGTTAGCACCCGGGACCCCAATGCTACAAAGGGAAGGGGATGGGCAGCGAGGGAGCAGGCTGATAAGAAAATCAGTCATTATGCCAACCGACCTGACACGGTCGGCTTCTTCCCATTGGCGGTCGAGACGTATGGCTGCCCCTGTGCAGAGGTCCTACAGTTTCTGAAATTGCTGGCGGATACAGCTGGTAGGCGCTACTTCAACGCCCAACCAACCTCCTACCACGCAGCTCGGTTCCTCCACCTCTTCAGGCAGCGCTGGTCCGTGGCTCTCCAGAGAGCTCAGTCCGTAGGGTACCTCATCAAGTCTTGCCAGGCAGCTGTGGCTGAGAATCCCCTTGTGGGGGGGATGCAGTCCGAGCTCCACCTAGGGGACTGCTGTACCGTGCTAGAACCTCTCATGGATCTGTAGACAGGCACTATGTGTAGTTAAATGGTTGTTTGTTTGCTATTCCTAGTCCTAGAAAACATACTTTGCATGATTGTACCTTTCCTATACTCAATACAAGGACCATTAGAGAGAGAGAGAGAGAGGCATCTTACCTCCGCCCTCTCCCTTAGCCCTCTACCCTCTCTGTTCCTTAGTATAAGAGGCCCCTCTAGGCCTCTGGTCTCTCATTGTTCAGTGGTGTGGCCGAACTTTTCGCTCGCGTCGGCCGCCTTCGGCGGCCAACGCTCGACAGCGCGGCCTTCGGCCGCGCGCGAGGTGACGGCAAGGGAGGAAGGGACAAGCAACTATAGCTCAAGACATACACACAATGGCAACACCTACACCTGCCTAGGACAACACACGGGATCAACATGACCCAGGAAAAGGCGGACACTACATCTGATCCGCGTCAAGGACGGCGAGAAGACCCGTCAGCGAGCGATGAAGCTCGCGCACCACCACAGTGGTTGCGCCGATCAGGTCGACTGCAGTCGCTGCGCGCATCGCCCGGCGCAGCCCACGAAGCGCAGTCCCAAGCTGTCCAACGCCCGCAACTCCACCCCGCGCGGGCGCAGCCAACACAAGCGCAAGGAGCTCGGCAAGCCGGTCAGCGGCATCCGAGCACTCGTCCAGAGGGCCGCCTACCAGAGGCACGCCACGAGAAAGAGCCGCGTGGCAATACACCTGGATCAGGTGAACAGCCCGCAGACCCTCAGAGAGGCGCCACAACTGCCCGAGTGACGCCTCGGGCACATCCGCTAGGAGAAGGCCCCACCAGCGAGTGTACCGGCAGATCAGCAGCCGGAGGATCAGGAGCGACGGGCAGCAGGGACGGATACTGCGGCGTCACTGGTCCCCCGCCCGCAGTCACAAACTCCACGCCCGCCACAGGAGGAACCCACGGCAGCCGGAGGCGGTTCCCATGAGCAGCAGCGGACGCAGCGTGAGCACGAGGAGGAGGAGCGGCAGTCGAGGGAAGAGGAGGAGCGGGCGCATAGGGCGCAGGCGGAGGATGAGACATCGGCGCAGGAGCATGGCGCGGCGAACTGCTCAGGCTCGCCCGCCCGTTCCGCTCCTCGCGCATCGCGTCAGACACAACCCGCTGCAAGTCGGCCATTGTCACCGGCTGATCGTACACCCACCCGCCACTGTGACCACGCCCTCCCCACCAGCCCCCTCGGCCGCCACGTGGTGCAGCCCGGTTCGCCTGGGAACCACGGCGGCGAGGTGAATCATGACGCCGCCGTGACGTCTCTCGCTCGTCACGCGGTACAGGGGATTGCGGCCGATGCTGCCGGCGGCCCGGGGACGCAGGACGCTGGGCAGGAGGATCAGGAGCAAGGGGTGCGGGAGCAGGACCCGCCTGTACGGTCGGAGGCGGCACTGTCGCCGCCGCAGGCGGAAAGGCAGGAGCATCCGGAGGCGTCCCGCGAGCAGACTGAACCTCCGCCGAGCTCGGGCCGGCGCTGGTGGCTGGAGGTGGCTGGTAGGACGGGTCCGCACCAGCAGCAGCAGACGATGCCGCAACCACAGGCACGGGCGCCGCCACGCCCACGGGAGCAGGAGGAACCACAGGCGCAGGCGCATGAGAGGGCGCAGGATCAGACGCCGCAGCTGGCCCAGGGGCAGGCACAGGAACGGACGCCGAGGCGAGCGCGGGAGTAGGCAATAACGCAGGCGCATCACCAGGCGCCACTACAGGCGCTGACAACGCCGCAACGGCGGGAACAGACGGCGGAGCAGGCGCGAGGACATGGCCGGCCTGAGTCACGGACGACGGGGCAGGAAGAGGTGGCATCCCCACAGCCGCTGGCACCGGGGACGAGACGGCAGGAGGGGCAACTGCAGCCGACGCCACGACAAAGGGCCGCGGCGAGTACGAGTAATACTCGTCGCCAATCGACACAGGCATCGCGGGGCGGCCGGGGCGGCGGACGAGGAGGAGCGACTGGACGGGGAGGCGGACCTGAGAACGGTTTCCAGAGGGAGGCACGGCGGGCCTTGACTCGAAGAGTGGATGCTAATGAAGCTGCAGAGGAAGCAAGAGATCCGACCTTTATACCCGTGGTGGTGGAAGAGTCTACCACGGAGGAATCAGGGGAGTTAGCAGAGGATGAACTGGAAGGAAGGCGTAGGGCAAACCCAACACCTCACCGAGCCGCACCGATTCCAGCAGCACAGGATGGCGAAGTTCACCGGCCGGCACCGAACACCACCGCGTCAGAGGCCCGCCAATTCTCGCCTGAGCAATTGGCAGAGGATCTGGCGCGGTTCGGCGAAGTGGATTTATGGGACCTGACCCCTTTACGCGACAGTCGTCAGCCCCCGCTTTCGCGAAAACTCCCAGCAGACATTCGCCCACTTTTCGCCACAGCCCTTCTGACACCCCTCCTTCACCTCGCGCGTAACCTTGCGTCAGTCGCAGGCTGGCGTCTGCTACTCTTTCTCCCGCGCCTCACCCTTCGCCTCCCGTCAACGGAAAAACCCGATTGGCCGGCGGTCAAACGCCGGCTTCGCCAGTTCAACAAAGGCGAATGGCAGCAGCTTTACGACTTGGCGGTTACCGCAATCACTGGACCACACCCGCCTCGCCATACGCCTGACGCCATTGGCAAACGTGCCAGGGCAGAAGGCCTCGCACGAAAAGGAAGTCTCCGCAGGGCGATCCTCGTCCTCGAGTCAACGCCGGTCGCCGATCCATCTGCACCCATCCTCGCCGCCATCGGTGTCGCGTTAGCCGGTCGCCGGTCGCCGGACCTGGCTAACGCATTCAACTCCATCAACCGCGGTGCAATAGTCGACGCCATTCGCGACACCGACCTCCAAGGTCTTCTCCCTCTCGTTAAAGCGTCGTATAGCCGGCCAGCCCATCTATTCCTTGACGCGGGGTTTGGCTGCGAGGCGCTGACTAGCGAGACAGGCGTCCGACAAGGCGATCCGCTCGGTCCCCTGCTGTTCGCCGCGGGGATCCACCCCATCCTCTCAAAGACGGCCGCCGCTTACCCATCGGTTCTCTGCTTAGCATTCGCCGACGACGTCACCTTCCTGGGCCCCGCAGCCGACTGTTCGGACGCCTTCCGCTGCTTCACAACGGGCCTGCGCGACGTGGGGCTGACCCACAACCCTGAGAAGTGCGCCGCATGGAGTGCAGCGGCCACAGATCCCCAGCAGCTGCCCCAGGGGGTCCCATTTCGCACGGAGGGGCTGAGGGTGCTGGGAAGTTTCATTGGTACGACGGAAGGAGCAGCAGCCTTCTTACGGTCTCAGCTAGAGACTATGTCGTCCCCGCTACCCCACATAGCCTGCATGGACCCACAGGTGGCATCGCTGCTGCTAACGCGATGCATCTCCAGGCGCATCTCATACCTTGCCCGCACAACCCCCTTGTACCTCCTTCCCGAGGCCGAGTGGTCACAGTGGGGCCGTGCTCTGCTGTACGCGCTGTTGGATGCTTGCGGGGTGCGCCACCCGAGGGGCGAGACAGAGGAGGGCCGGATCTGGGACCAGGCCTCACTTCCACTTAGCCTAGGCGGCCTGGGCCTCGCCGACCCTGCTGTGGAAGGCCGATACAGCTTCCTGGCGAGCTTTGTACAAGCCCACACGCTGCTTGGCGGATTGGGGGGACAAGCAGGGACCACCCTGGCAGCAGCACTGGACAGCACAGAGTCGGCCGAGCACAGCCCCAACAAGCTACAGGCGTGGATTAAGGACTGCAGTGACAGCCTCACACAAGGGGGGAGGGACCTGATCTTGGCGGAGAGGGCGAAACCTAAGGGCCAACTTCAGCACCGCCTAGCTCTCCTAGTCCAAGGGGGCCGGAGTGCCGCCCAGATTGCCGCGTCTAGACAGATGGAGCTGAACCCACGGCTAGGCCACACCCAGCGCCTCATGTCCCTCACAGGCTATGGGGCAGGGGACTGGCTCTTGGCGATCCCCTACATGCCTTCCCTACGCCTCTACCCCTGCCAGTTCAAGTTCGCCCTCCAGTTTAGGCTCGGCCTGCCACTGTCCGTGCCTGACTGCTGTGACTGCACCAAACGGGTCCCCAACCTGGATAAGAGGCTGCCGAACCACTTGCTTAGGTGCGGTACGGGGCACGGTCGGACCAACACTCACAACGAGCTGCGCGACGAGTGCATCCGCATGGCGCAGGATGCAGGATTTGCCGTGCACAAGGAGTGCACGGCCTTTAGCCCCGTAGACAACAAGAAGGCCGACTTGGCCTTCAGGGATGGGAGTTCGGGAGCGGTATGGCTGGCGGACATTACCATAACAGACCCCATCAGTAAGCGGGATGAGACAGCAAGGAAGGGGAGGGGTTGGGCAGCACGGGAGGCAGCAGACAAGAAGATAGACCTCTACCACGGTAGGGCTGAGTTTGCTGAGTTTTTCCCCTTGGCGGTAGAGACCTACGGCTGCCCCTGTGACGAGGTGCCCACGTTCCTGAAGCTGATGGCGGACAAAGCTGCACGGAGAATCTTCAACGCGGACCCATCCACCTACCAGGCCGCGAAGATGCTCCACCAGTTCCGCCAGCGCTGGTCGGTCGCACTCCAGAGAGCCCAGGCGGTGAGCTTTCTCACAAAGCTGAACCAGGCGGCAAGGGCAGAGAACCCCCCACTAGGGGGACCAGAGGGGGAGGTGAACCCGGGGGACTGTTTCGCAACACTCGAGGCGCCTTAGATAGGAGGGGGGGTTGGGGAGGGACTAGGGGTGTGCGTTCTGAAGGTTTTGTATTGCCGTTGCTTCTCCCCGTTTGCTAGTCCTCATGCTAGACATGCCCTGCCCTAGAATATGCATGTTTGTACCGAACTCCACCTATCAATACAAAGGACCGTTAGAGAGAGAGAGAGAGAGAGAGAGAGAGAGAGAGAGAGAGAGAGAGAGAGAGAGATGTAGGACCTGGTCTGGGCGGACCTGGTCTTCCGTGACAGGGAGTCGGGTGAAACCTACCTCACAGACGTGACGGTGACCGACCCAGTGCTGCAGAGGCGGGACACCCAAGGGAGAAAGGCGCCAGGGTGGGCAGCAGAGGACGCTGCCAGGACCAAAAGGGGGCTGTATGAGGAGCGCCCCGAGTTCGCGGGGGTCCTGGGCCTGGCCGTGGAAACCTACGGGGGACTAGCGAGAGACACACAGAAATTCTTCCGCATTTTAGGCACGAGTGCGGCCAAGAAGAAGCACCGCCAAGGGAGGCTCACCACGGTGGCCTCCAGGCTGACTGCGCACTACCGACAACGCTGGTCGGTAATGCTGCAGCGCTGCCAAGCCAACGCCATGCTGGCAAAGTCCAACAGGGCGGCGGAGGCAGCATACCCCCAGGCCTGGGCTGACCCTTGGGAGCCAGGCCTGGGGGACATATGGCAGGTCCTGGAAGATGAGGTGGAGGAAGTGTGGGACCTGGGAGTCTAGAAGGCTGGAGAGAAGGAGCCGGGGCAAGACCAAGGCCGCCTGAGCCACCATGGGGGCCTAGTGATAGGTGCTTGCATGCCTAGGCAGCCATGTACCAAGGAAGGTAGGAATAGTACAAGCAATGCACGCCAGGATTGCCTATGCTTCTAGGACAGCATGTATGCCAAACTACTCATGCCATGCTTGTATCCTATGACCATTATCAATACAGGACTGCTTGAGAGAGAGAGAGAGAGAGAGAGAGAGAGAGAGAGAGAGAGAGAGAGAGAGAGAGAGACATGGAGTCGAATGAGACATGGGTCACCGATGTGACAGTGACTGATCCAGTGCTGCAGTGCCGTGACAAACGGGCTCGGAAGCCTCCTGGATGGGCGGCAAGGGAAGCCTCGGAGAGGAAACACAGGATCCATGAGGGGCGGCCTGATTACGTGGGATCCTTTAGGTGGGCAGTGGAGATGTACGGTGCCTTAGCTACGGATACACAGCAGTTTATCCGCCTGCTAGAAACCTCGGCGGCAAAGAGGAGGTTCCGCCAGGGGAGGCTCACCGCAAGACTCACCGCTCACTACAGGCAGCGCTTCAGTGTCATGCTCTAGCGCTCACAGGCGACGTCATTCCTGAACAAGTCTAACACAGGTGACGTGGCAGCCTTCTCACAGACGGCTAGGGACCCTTGGGAACCTAGCCTAGGGGACCTGTGGCAGGTCCTTGAGGATGAGATGGACGGAGTGATGGGTCAGTAAGCAGGATAGCTGCGGGCTAGGTGTGTAGCTGAGTGTTAGCAACCAGCTTTTCTTGCCTTGCCTTGTCTTGTTTGCCGTGCCTTGCCTTCCTTGCCTGGCCTTGCTTGCCCTGCTCGGCTTGGAGTTGCCTTGCCTGCCTGCCATGCCTGTTTGTGCCTTGCCTTGCCTTTCCTTGCCTCTTCTACCCTCAAGGTCCTGACCTGCCGGTACCGTTGGTTTGCCAGCCCGACCTCCCACTGGCTACTTGTTGTGCCTACCTTGGCCTTGCCTCGCATAACCGGTTGCTCATAGGACTAGGCCTGTTAAGTACTTTTCTCTTGCCAATGCCTGTACCTCTATGAAACTATCAATGAAGGACTGCTTGAGAGAGAGAGAGAGAGAGAGAGAGAGAGAGAGAGAGAGAGAGAGAGAGAGAGAGAGAGAGAGAGAGAGAGGCCTAGTCCTTAGCCTCTCCAGCCCTTTCCAGCCTAGTATAAAGGCCATAGGATCTAGTCCTAGAGCCTCATAATTCAGTTCTTGGTTCGTTTGCTCTCCTAACCGAGCGGGAGAGAGAGGAGAGAGAGAGAGAGTGAGGCCTAGTCCTTAGCCTCTCCAGCCCTCTCCAGCCTAGTATAAAGGCCATAGGATCTAGTCCTAGAGCCTCATTATTCAGTTCTTGGTTCGTTTGCTCTCCTAACCGAGCGGCTTGCGCCGGTCGCCTTCGGCGGCCGACGCTCGACAGGGCGGCCATCGGCCGCGTGTGAGGGGGCGGCAAGGGAGAAAGGGACAAGCAACTATAACTCAAGACATACACGCAATGGCAACACCTACACCCGCCTAGGACAACACACGGCAAAAACATGGCGCAGGAAGAGGCGGACGCTACATCTGATCCGCATCAAGGACGGCGAGAAGACCCGTCAGAGAGCGATCAAGCTCGCGCACCACCACTATGGTTGCGCCGATCAAGTCGACTGCAGTCCCTGCGCGCAAAAACCGGCGCAGACCACGGACTGCCGTCCCAAGCTGTCCAACGCCCGCAACTCCACCCCGCGCGGGCGCAGCCAACACGGGCGCCAGGATGGCCACTCTCCAACGGAACACGGGCCCAGCCGATCAGCGGCATCTAGGCACTCGTCCCGATGGCCACTCTCCAACGGAACACCTTGGGCGAGAGCCGCGTGACCATACACCTGAATCAGGTGAACAGCCCACATGCCCTCAGAGAGGCGCCACAGCTGCCCCAGAGACGCCTCCGGCACCACAGCAGAAGGAGAGGGCCCCACCAGCGACTGCTGAGGCAGCGCAGCAGCCGGCGGAGCAGGAGCGACGGGCAGCAAAGATGGTAACTGACCCGTCACGGTTCCCCCTGCCGCGGTCACAAACTCCATACCTGCCACACCAGGAACCCATGGCAGGCGCATACAGTTCCCAAGAGCAGCAGCAGATGCGGAGGGAGCATGAGGAGGAGGAACGGTCGATTGGGGAAGAGGAGGCACCGGCGCATAGGGTGCAGCCGGAGGAAGGGACGCATGCGTTGGAGCGACGCGAGGCGAATTGCTCTGGCTCGCTTGCCCGTTCCGCTCCTCGCGCACAGCAGCAGAAACAGCTCGCTGTAGATCGGCCATCGACACCGGCCGATCATACCCCCAGTCACCACCACGACCGCGCCCTCCCCACCAGCCACCACAACCACCGCGGGACGCAGCCCAGTTCGCTTGGGAACCACGGCGCCGAGGAGAGTCGTGTCGCCGCCGCGACCTCTCCCGCTCGTCACGAGGTGCAGGGGAGTGTGGCCGATGCTGCCGGCTACATGGAGACGGCGGGCGCGAAGCAGGCGGGGCAGCAGCAAGCGGCGCAGGACCACGAACCGCCTGGACAGCTGGGGTGTACACGGGCGGCGGCGCAGTCGGAGGGGCGGGAGCAACAAAGACCGCTACCTGGTCCGGGCCGTCAGTGGTGGCGGACACCACCGGTTGCGACGCCACGGCGCCAGCAGGGGCAGCGTCGCCAATCGGGGCGTCAAGAATGGGGGCATCTGGTGGAGCAGGATCAGCAGTGGCAGTCGGTGCCGCAGGGTTCACAGGGGTAGGTGGCGCAACAGCAGGAGCAGAGAGTGCAGGAGGGTCAGGAACAGCCTGCGCCGCCTCACTCGACACGAGGTCCGGAGTTGGACTCGCAGAGAGAACGACAACAGAGGGCGCTGGCTTCGGGGCAGGTGGGACTGGCGGCTTCATTGCAGCACTCCCCGAGTCAGACATCGGCGGCTAATTTCCGCTCGCCGTTGACGCAGAGGCAGCGGGCTTTGGCAACGGCCACGAATCGCCAGCAATCACCATCGCGAGGAGGGAGGAGATAAGGAGCAGGACGTCGGGAAGGGCGGAGAGTTGAAGGCGGACCGGAGAATGCGTTCCAGGCGGCGGCGCGTAGGGCTTTAACACGGCTAGACGAGAATGATGATCCGGAGGAGCGAAATGACCCCTCTTATAGGGAGGAGGCACAAGCCCCGAGCAGCAGCAGTGATGAGGAAAACGAGGAGGAGAGAGAGCACTTGACGAGAGGAAGCGGAGGAAACCAGACAGGAATGACAGTACAGTCAGGAAACACACGGGGGCCACATGATGCCGATCGAACGGCCACGATTCCAACCCCGCCTATTATTCGTGCCATGGGTCGCGGACGTGGGAATCGGGCCACGAGGGGTCAGGCGAGGGCGACTTGCCAGCCTCAAAACCCCCGCTATTTTTCGCCAGAGGAACTGGCGAGGTAGGCTGACAAATTTGCCGAAGTGGCAGAATGGGACATCACACCTCTTTGCGACAGTCGCCAACCCACGCTGTTACGACGGCTACCGCCAAATCTGTGCGAGATATTCTCGCTCGTGGTCTTGACACCACTTCTGCACCTCTCACAAACCCCTGACTCCATCGCGGGATGGAAGTTACTCCTATTTCTCCCTCGCCTCACACAGCAACAAGCTTCGCCAAGGCGCCCAGATTGGCCCAAAATCAAAGCCCGTCTTCGAGCATTTCAACGCGGCGAGTGGCAACAGCTGTACATGGACGTGGTGGAAGCAGTCAACATACCACCTCCGCCATGTCACCAGCCTGACGACGTAGGAACCATCAACAGAGCGGAGGGCCTGGCGAAAAAAGGGAGCCTGCGCCGAGCCGTGATGGCGCTCGAGTCAACGCCGGTCTGCACGCCCAGTCCAGAAATCCTAGACGAACTCCGACGCAAGCATCCACCAGCGGACCCTGACCCCTTGGTCAGGCCAGTCAACGCCGACCAACCAGACCTCGAGATCGCATACGTGGAATTTTCGAAATTGCTCAGCCTATGCGAGAATGGGGTGGGGGCCGGCCCGAGTGGAATGACTTTTGAACACCTACGCGACGCGTCAGTAACAAATGCATCCGTCTCCACCCATCTACATGCCTTGGTGAATACGATTCTGATAGGAAAACTGCCGCAACCAGTCGCGAATTTACTCACATCCTCCCGCCTGATTGCCCTGGCCAAACCTGAAGGAGGGGCTCACCCAATCGCAGTCGGCGAATGTCTGACCCGCCTGACGGCAAAGGCCGCACTGTCAACTCTCGGCGAGGCGGCGCGCGGCTATTTTCTTCCGCTGCAGTACGGTGTCGCTGTGGCAGGGGGAGCGGAGGCAATCATTCACAGCGCACGTGCATACGCTGAGAATCACTCCAACAGCCTCATTCTGCAAACTGACATCTCCAACGCCTTCAACAGCATTTCACGGCAAGCCATAGTGACAGCATTACAGGATCCGGCCCTATCACTACTACTGCCGTTAGTGAAACTGACTTACGGTGACCCATCCCTACTGTACCTGGACGCTAACTTCAACAGCTCGCCTATCCTCAGCGAGCGTGGGGTCCGGTAGGGCGATCCCTTAGGACCGCTTCTTTTTGCGGCTGGGACCACCCTGCATTAAGAGCAACAGCAACACTACACCCCGGCGTGCTGTGCCTGGCATACGCCGACGACGTGACCTTTTTGGGCGAACCACAGGATGCTGTCGCAGCTTTCTCCCATTTTACTAGTCAGCTGGCTCAAGTGGGTTTGCGACACAACCCTGAGAAATGTGCCGCATGGAGCAGTCAGCTGCTAGATAGTTCAGTACGACTGCCGCCGGGAGTCCCTACAAGTGAAGCGGGCGCTAAACTTCTAGGCAGTTTCCTAGGCACACCTGAAGGCGCTGCCGCTTTCCTAGCAGCCCAGCTACAAGACATGATAAAGCCGCTGCCTTTGATCGAGCGCCTAGATCCGCAGATAGCTTCCCTCCTCCTCACACGCTGCATCTCCCGCCGTGTAGGATACCTCATACGAACGACCCCGCTACATCTCCTGAACCACGACACCTGGTCCCTGCGGAGATAACTACTACAACGGGAGCTAGACTACGGGCTAGGCACGGGCGTTTGTTGGTCCTTAGTCGTTTTCCTAGTGCACACACTGCTTGCTAGTTCACGGGGCAAGTTGGCAAGAGTTTCACTAGAGAAAGTTGACAACAATGGTACAATGAAGTTGGCATTGCAAGACTACATCAGAGCTAGCATTCAGGTCGGTCGACTACCAGCACCGCATGGTCGACCGCGTTCCAGCACGACTTGGTCGACCGCGCTCCAGCAGTGCAAAGTCGACGGCGTGCCAACACTGCATGTTGACGGCGTGCCAGCGTTGCTCCCGCAGAACAGCATTGCACCAGCTTCGCAGGTGCTTGCAGATGATTGGCATGCTGAGCCTTGTCACCTGCACAGCGCACACACCAAGTCAGCCTGGCGCTGACGACTGCATCTGATCAACCATGTCGACCTCGGGATACCACCACCGAGTCCGACCTCGGGACACCCCAAGTCGACCTCACCAGGTCGACCACACCCCTGGTCGACCAGCTCCAGGTCGACGTCCCTCCTGGTCAACCAGCTCCAGGTCGACGTCCCTCCTGGTCGACCTACCACCAAGTCGACCAGCAGGCCTGGTCGACCAACCACCAGGTCGACCAGCAGTCCTGTTAGCCGACCACCCAAGTCGGCTGCCCCCAAGTTGACGTCACCAAGTTGACGTCCTCCGCAGGTCGACTTCCCAGGTCGACCTCCCTGAAGTCGGCACCACCCTGAAGTCGGCGCCCGTGCAGTGGCTCCCGTGCAGGTCGACCTCCTCGTCAACCAGCTTGCCCACTGCTGCAGGTCGGCAGCTTCCCCTCACACCCAACCACGAAGTCGGCTCCGCCCAAGCGAGGACGAGGCCAACACACAACTCCCGTTGGCAGTCTTAGTGGGGTAGGGACCTCCTAGCCACGCTCCTCACAGCATGTGGCATTCGTTTCCCGACAGACAGCACAGAACAGAATCGGGTTTGGGAACAGTCTTCACTCCCACCGTCACTAGGCGGTATCGGACTAACGGACCCCACGGTGGAAGGCCGTTTCGGCTTCCTGGCCAGTTTTACACAGTCTAGCCTCTTATCAAGCTCACTACCGCTAGAAACAGAGGAGGCCCTGATGGCGGCCAGAGACCACATGCTCCTTCCTCGAGATACCACAACCGCCTTACACCAGTGGCTCGGGGAGTGCGAGACGTCGCTGCCACAAGAAGCTAGAGACATACTCGACATGGAGAGGCTAGAGCCAAAGGGGCTGAAACTGCAGCACGAGCTTGGAGTAGATATGCCATGCAAGTACGGGCTACATGACACATGAGCCTCAACCCACTGTCAGGCCACACCCAACGGTTTTTCTCCCTGACAGGCTACGGCACAGGGGACTGGCTAACCGCTATCCCAATAGAACCAACCCGCCGTGTAGGCCCTCCTCACTTCGCAAACGCAGTTCGCTTCAGGCTAGGCCTCCCCTTCTCTACACCCGCCAAATGTGACTGCTCTAAGAACGTAGCAATCACTAACCCACGGCTGCCGAATCACCTTTTCCGCTGCGGGACAGGCAAGCACAGGATTAATACCCACAATGAACTCCGTGACGCTTGCATCTCGATGGCAGAGGACGCCAGCTTCATAGTCCACGGGGAATCCGCAGCCTACTGCCCAGTTGAAGAGCAAACTGCAGACCTGACACTGCGTGATAGGAGCTCGGGCGCGGTGTACATTTGTGATGTCACCATCACGGACCCGATCAGCACCACGGACCCACTCGCCATAAAGGGGAGGGGATGGGTGGCGAGGGAGCAGGCCGACAAGAAAATCAGCCCTTATGCCAGCCGCCCTGACACCGTTACCTTCTTCCCCTTGGCAGTTGAGTCATACGGGTGCCCGTGTGCCGAGGTCCCATAGTTCTTGAAGCTCTTGGCAGAAACAGCTGCTAGGCGACACTTCAACGCCCAACCGCACTCATTCCATGCAGCCCGGTTCCTTCATCTCTTCAGGCAACGGTGGTGCTACAAAGAGCAGCTCTCTTCATGTCCCCGGCCTTCGGCCGCGCGTGAGAGGCGGCAAGAACAAACACACGCAATAGATACTAAGCAAGGACATACACGCAATGGCAGTTTCAATAAGCAACTAGACAGGCAAGGCATCAATGGGGCAACCGGAGCCCGCGTCTACATGCGGTGAGCTCCAAGGGCGTGTAGAACGCCCGTCAGGGAGCGCCATAACTCCCGGACCACAAGCGTGCTTGCGCCGATCGCCGCGGCTCCAGATCCTGCGCGCAAGTGCCGCCTCAAGCCCTGGACAGCCTCGTCAAGCTGTCCCGCAGCAGCAGCGCCACCCTCTGCGGGCGCAGCCAGCACGGGCGCTAGCAACAATGCGAGCTGGTCCGCCGCGTCTAAGCAAGTGTCACGCTGGCGGCCACGAAAGGTCTCAGGAGGGATCAGTGAGCCAGCACCTGAATCAGCAGTAGCGCTTGGAGACTCTCAGCGAGGCGGTGGAGCTGGCCGAGTGTCGCCTCAGGAACACGGGTCTGCGGAGGCTTGATTGCCTCCGCCAGGAACTGGAGCGGCTCATCAGCTACAACTTGGAGAGCATACGGAGCCGCCGCCGTGCCACCACCCGCGGCCACAAACTCCACTCCCGCAACGGGCGAACCGGCGGCAGTTGGAGACGAGAGCCGGGAGCAGGCGCCGAGACAGCGGGAGAAGGAGCTGGCGGCACCAGGATCTGAGGGGGAGGCGCAACGACCGGCTGGGGGCTCGCGGAGAGCACAGCCGCACGAGGAGCCTCATGGGCTGGCGAGGCGCGCATCGAACTGCTTTGGCTCTGAGCCGCCCTCTCCTCACGAACCGCCCTAGACACTTCCCGCTGAAGATCTGCCATCGTCACGGGCGGGCGATACCCCCCACCCCCGCCATGAGCACAGGGACCCCTCCAATCCCCCTGACCTCCGGGGTGAGCAGGCCAGTGCGACTATTGCTGATAACGCCGTGGAGACTCACACCGGCGACGAGACGACTTGCGCTCCTGGTGGGGCGCGGGGGAATGGGGGCGCGACGAGCGACGGTCGGGAGACGGCGGGCGTGACGGTTGACCCGCCGGGGCCACCGGTGTCACAGCAGGTGCGGACTGACCCGCCGCCAAGGGTGCAACCAACGGGGCCGGTCCGCCAGCGGTGGCGGACGCCTCCTTCGGTGACAAAGCAGAGGTCGGAGCAGGCAAGCAGGGGACAGAAGCGGTCGGTGCAACAGGGGCGCCAGGGACAGGTGCAGGGGTATCAGCAACACCCCCATCAGGGGCAGACGCCGACGGATCGTCAAGGGGAGCCGGGGGGCCAGGGGCTGCAGGCAGAGCAGACGGAACAGCAGCGGGGGCAGACGGGCCAGCCTCCGACGCGGCAAGGGGCTCCGCGGGTGCGTGGGGAGGAGTCTTTTCAGCGCCTATTGTCTCGGATTTCAGAGCCGGCGGTAGAGGAGGCTTCGTCGCCATGGTCGCCCTTTGGGGGACCGACGGGGGCTTGGCGACGGATGCCGACCAAGCGGCAATGAGCTCTGGCAACGGCTCAGGAGCTCCGGCAATCACCATCTCAGGCGCAGGGAAGTCGTGCGGCGGGAAGGCGAACAGAAAGCGGGACTAGCGAGGCCCAGAGAACGGATACCAGGCGGCGGCACGGGTGGCTTTAAACAACTTGGAAGCAGCTAATGAGGACGGCGAGTTAGCTGACCCCTCTTATAGGGAGGAAATCGCTGGCGAGAGCGAGCACGATGAGGCAGAGGAGGAAGAAGAAGGGGCGAGGGAGAGATCGGGGAGAAGGAAGGCAGTGGTGGAGCAAACAGGCGTGCAAACGCCCCAGGTGGCACACACACCGTTCGATGCTGATCGGACGGGAGTACTTCCAACCACTGCCTCCCCAGCGCGATCGGGCCGTGTTCGGCGAAATTGGACCGCGACTTCTGATGCTGCGACGCGTCCAGGCGCCTCGACACCCCGCTATTTTTCGCCTAACGAACTGGCAAAGCGAACAGATCTGTTCGCTTCCATCGTGAATTGGGACATCACAGCACTGTGCGACAGTCGTCAGCCTTCGCTGTCGCGGTGCTTACCACCCAATTTGTGCCAGCTGTTCTTGCTGGCGTTACTGACGCCGTTATTGCACCTCTCACGAAACCCCGAGTCTGAGACAGGATGGCGCCTGCTGTTGTTTCTCCCACGCCTAACACTTCGCCAAACCTCGCCACAACAACCGAATTGGCCAAAAATCAAGGCTCGGCTCCGAGCCTTCCAGCGTGGCGAATGGGAGCAGCTCTTTTTGGATGCGGTGGACACAATCAACACGCCACCACCGCCACGGCACCAGCTCGACGCGACTGGTGTGCTCAACCGAGCTGAGGGTCTGGCGAAACGTGGCAGCCTGCGACGGGCCGTGCTTGCCCTGGAGTCAACGGCCGTCTGCACTCCCAGCCCCGAAATCCTGGAGGAGCTGCGCCTGAAGCACCCACCCGCTGAACACGAGGAGGTGACGTGGCCCACGCCACAGGGGTCAACACTTTCAATCCCCCTCGCAAACTTTGCCAAAATGTTGGGCAGATGCGAAAATGGGGTTGGGGCCGGGCCGTCGGGGATGACATTTGAACATCTGCGCGACGCAGCGATCACCAATGCACTGGTCCGCACCCATCTGCACGCCTTGATCAACACCGTTCTGGGAGGGAATTTGCCAGACTCGGTGGCAAACCTTCTAACCGCGTCACGCCTCATTGCCTTGGCCAAACCTGAGGGAGGTGCTAGGCCAATCGCGATCGGCGAATGTTTGACAAGGCTGGCAGCCAAGGCGGCCCTGTCAGCAATGGGAGAAGCCGCCCGCGATTTCTTTCTGCCGCTACAATACGGCGTGGCAGTGCCAGGTGGAGCCGAGACAGTAATCCACGCGGCAAGGGCCTTCCTAGACGCACACCCCTCCAGCCTGGCCCTGCAAGCAGACATTTCAAACGCGTTCAACAGCATCTTGCGAAAAGCCATCGCCACCGCGTTACAAGCCCCTGCCCTCTCGCCACTGCTGCCGTTCGTGAAATTAACTTACGGTAACTCGTCGCAGCTGCTCCTGGATGTCAATTTCAACTCCGAACCTCTACGGAGTCCGCCAGGAAGACCCACTTGGCCCGTTACTGTTTGTGGCAGGGATGCATACCACACTCCGCGACACTGCAGACACGCACCCCGATGTGCTTTGTCTGGCCTACGCGGACGATGTCACATTCCTTGGAAATGTGGCCGAATGTAGCCGCATTCAACCATTTTACCGCCGGCCTGGCACAACTGGGGCTGACACACAACCCACGAAAATGCGCAGCGTGGAGCAAAGCCGCATCAGTGAAAGAACAGCTTCCGCCAGGAGTGCCTTTTTCCCAGGACGGCGTGCGGCTACTGGGAAGTTTTGTGGGCCCAGACTGCGGGGCGGCGCAGTTCCTGTCGGGTCAACTGCAGGAAATGGCAAAGCCACTACCTCTCTTGGAGAAAGCCGACCCCCAGGTCGCTTCACTGCTGCTGACCCGCTGTATCTCCAGGCGGGTGGCGTACCTCACTAGGACAACACCGCTCCACCTACTGCCTCGCGATACCTGGAGTCAGTGGGGGATGGACTTGCTTACGACGCTTTTGACAGCATGCAGCATACGCGTTCCAACCTGCCGCTCTGAGCAAGCTCGCGTTTGGGCGCAGGCTTCACTGCCGCCGTCGCTAGGGGGAATCGGCATTACGGACCCCTTAATCGAAGGGGTGTACGGTTACGCGGCAAGCTTCACACAGGCCGCGCTTTTCCTTGCTTCACTAGAGTGTGCCCCCGGTGGGGCGCTGAGGCAGGCCTGGGACCACATGTTGCTGCCTGCTGATGTCACCACGCCTCTCCACGCGTGGCTTACTGAGTGCGAGGCAGCCTTACCCCTTGACACTCGAGAAATCTTGGAGAAAGAGCGGCTGGAGCGGTCTGACATTAGACTCCAATACGCCCTGGCTTTACAGGTACACGGGAGCCGATATGCCGTGCAGGTTCAGGAGACACGGCAGATGTCACCGAACCCTTTGTACGGCCACACACAGCGGATGTACTCACTGACAGGTTACGGGACCGGGGATTGGCTGACGGCTATCCCTATTACGGCAAACAGGAGGATAGGGCCCATTCACTTCTCCAACGCCGTGCGCTTCCTGCTGGCCCTCCCTTTCTCCACGCCGAAAAACTGCGAGTGTTCAGATCATACAGCTATTACGGACCCCCGCCTCCCTAACCACCTTCTCCGCTGTGGCATGGACAAGCACCGCATCAACACCCACAATGAGCTGCGGGACGCTTGTATTAGCATGGCCCAGGACGCGGGGTTCATCGTTCACACGAGACAGCGGCTTACTGCCCTGTTGAGGAACAGATCGCCGATTTTACGATGACAGACAGAAGCAGCGGTGCTGTCTATGTGTGTGACGTCACAATTACAGACCCCATTAGTACTCGAGACCCGGAGGCACTGAAGGGAAGGGGCTAGGCGACAAGGGAGCAGGCCGACAAGAAGATCAAACACTACGCTGCCCGGCCAGAGACGGTGAACTTCTTCCCTCTAGCGGTGGATACTTATGGCTGCCCCTGTGCTGAGGTGCCAGTCTTCCTGAAACTCTTGGCGGACACTGCAGCTCGGCGCCACTTCAACGCCGACTCCAAGTCATTCTATGCTGCTAAGTTCCTGCACCAGTTCAGGCAACGCTGGTCAGTGGCCCTTCAAAGGGCCCAATCTGTGAGTCTCCTGGTGAGTGTGGATCATCCCAACCCAGCGCCTCGTTCGAGAGAGAGCGAGAGAGAGAGAGCGAGATGGCTTAGGACTAATCCTTAGCCGTTTTTAGCCCTCTCTAGTGTAGAATCCAGTCCTTAGCAGTTTTTAGCCTAGTCTCCTAGTATAAAGTCCTTAGATGCACCCCTTTGAGCTCATTCTTCACTGGTGAGTTCATTTCACTCTCCAAAACCAGCGGCTCGCTCGAGAGAGAGCGAGAGAGAGAGAGAGAGAGAGAGATGGCTTAGGACTAGTCCTTAGCCGTTTTTAGCCCTCTCTAGTGTAGAATCCAGTCCTTAGCAGTTTTTAGCCTAGTCTCCTAGTATATAGTCCTTAGATGCACCCCTTTGAGCTCATTTTTCACTGGTGAGTTCATTTCACTCTCCAAAACCGGCGGCTCGTGCCGGCGGCCGCCGCTCGCCAGCGCGGCCTTCGGCCCCGCGTGAGGTGTGACAAGGACCAAGGGAACAAGGACTATAGCACGGAGCAGTACAACATGCAAGGCTAGACAACACACAACAACAACAACAACAACACCCCCAGGCGTGACTACACTGCCATGGGGAAGCCCAAGGCTAGGCCAGCTACTAAGGGGGCCAGCACGGGGAAAACACCCGCTACTCGGCGAGTATCCAGCAAAGCCTCCTGTCCATCCAGCGAAGGACGGATGCGGCCGCTGATACAAGGCCAAGAGGGGCCTCCTGAGCGGACTCAGCAAGCCGCATCATCGCCCCAGGGCCAGGCCTGAGCGCTGCGCCAGGGGCGCCCTGGACAAGTCCGATCAGGGGGAGATAGTGGAGCATCTCCGTCGCCGCATACACCGCTGCCGACTGCTCTGATGGCTCCATCGCCCCAACCTCGACTCCCTGGCGCGCCAAACAGACATGGAGCTGGTCCAGCACGTATAACAGCAGTGTCAAACACGTCCCCACGTGCATTACGCACTGCTCGACGCGGAGAGGAGTCGCAGCTACACGGGCAGCAACGTGAGGAGCTAGTGGGACGGGAGGGAATAGCAGCACCTGAGGAGTTGGCGGTGGACCAGGAGGCGGGGAGCGAGGCGCCTGCGGCCGCGGCGGCAGCGGGAAATGGCGCAACGGTGACTGAGTCGGAGGCGGCTGTGGCGGTTGAGGCTGTGGCTGCTGCGGGGCCGGAGTGGGTTGTTGCTGAGGAGACTGGGGCGGAGGTTGCTGTTGAGTCTGGCGGGCTTGACGCTGCCTCTGGCGGCGGCTTAGTTTCACCCTCTGCCCCAGGCGTTGCAACCAGGGGAGCTGGAACAGGCAGTGGATCCGGAGCAGACCGAGGAGTTGGTGCTGGCGGCGTCACCGGAGCCTGTAACGGCGGCTGCGCTGGCTGCAGCGGTGACAGCGGCGGCAGGGGAACAGGACGGAGACCGGGCCGAGGAGGATGCGCCGATTGCCGCTGCGAGCGCCGAAACGTCGGCTGCTGCCAAGGGCGCAAGCACGCAGGGGCACGACCATGAGGGGAGCGATAGACGGGGTCACGCACCCGCCGCGTCTGCCGGCGCCGCCCGCGGGAAGACAGTGAAGAAGAAACTTCGAGCCCAGCGAGCACCGAGGCGGTCCGGAGCAGGGCTGGTACCTGGTCCCCCAGGACCCCTCCTGGGCTGGCTTCTGCAAGGGCAGTTGCCACGAGCGCAAGGGCGTCAACTGCCATCTGCGGGGACGAGCGGTGGGGGCGTAGAAGCAGAGAATGGCATTAGGCAAGCAAGCACCGTGAACAACAACTCGCCAGCAGCCGCAGCGGTAGAAACAGCACTGCAACAAACACCCCGTCGTGAAACACGGAGCACAACACGCGCCCAGGGGATCACCTGGGGCCAACCGCGAGGTCACCAGACAGTCCCGGCTAACACAACGTGGATCCCGGCGGGCCGAGCACCATAGGCCGGGCGCGGTGGACGAAACGCTGAGAATTTGGGTAGGGGAGGCGCAACGGCAGGCACGGGGAGAGGCGGAGCCCGCGGTGCAAGAGGCGGACGGAGAGGAGGTGGCGCAATCGTTGGTGGAAGAGAGGCGCTGTTGCGGTCGGGAACGTGGCGGGAACGCCACGATCGCCCTGAACAGGTGGCGGATCCCACGACTCAGAATGAAGCAGATGCTGAAAGGGGTGAGGACGGGAGGATTATGAAGCTTTGGCCTCGATGCCCTCAGAAGAAATCTCGTTGGACGAGGAAGGAGAGGGGACAACGAGAGGGGAGCAAAGGCGACAGGAGAGGAGAAACCCTCGAGAGGAGAGGGTGAACGAGGAAGCCCCAAATGAGGGACAGAGTGACTCAGGGGCCAGATCACCATCTGACCTGGCGAACGACTCTTCCATCTAGGAGCTGGCAGCCACGTGGGACAAATATCCACTCCAAAAAGGGGATCAACCCTTCATGGTACGCAGAATGCCGCCCAAGATCCTGGAGAGCTACTCGCTCTGCCTCCTGGCGCCACTCATTCGACTCTAAAAAAATCCTGACTGTCGAGGTGCATGGGCGATCCTACAGTACTTACCGAGGCTGACGCTACGTCCGGCACCTGAACCTGTTGAAGGCAGTCAGTGGACAGCAATAGAGCTGCGCCTGCACCAGTTCCAACTCGGCACCTGGCAGCCCCTCTACACTGACGCGTGCGTCATCCCCGACAATGAGAGTCTGGCACGACACCAACCGGACGATGCAGGTTTATGTGCAAGGGCGGAGGGGTTGATAAGGAAAGGAAATATTTCCAAAGCGGTAGCAGCGTTACGAACAACACCGCTCGCAGAAGCGACGGCGGCAACATTGACGGCACTCCAAGCGAAACACCCCGCAGCTGAAACTTCGCTGCTAGGCCTGGTTACTGGGTTCAACCGCTCGACCCTCAGTGTGTCGGCGGACGAGCTTTGCGAAATTCTCAAGAAATGTCCGAACGGGGTTGGAGCGGGCCCATCAGGCACCTGTTTCGAACACCTCAAGGATCCGGCACTGGCAAACGGGGAGGTGCTTATCCTATTCGCTAAGACAGTGACTTACCTGCTGAGCACGTTCCAAACTCAATCGACCCGCGACCTGCTGCTGCCTTCACGGTTAATCGCCCTAGAAAAGCCAGGAGGAGACGTCCGCCCTATCGCGATAGGGGAAGCTATACTTCGCGTCGTGGCTAAGGCAGCATTGAGGGGTTTAACGGACAACATAAAAGAGTTTTTCTTACCAGTGCAGTTTGGGGTGGCGATACCGGGAGGCGCTGAGTGTATCATACACTCCGTCAGATCACTACTAGGAGACGATGACACACGAGTAGCGCTACAGCTGGACATAGAAAACGCCTTCAACAGTGTTGAACGGGCGGCTTTCTTCAACGCTCTCTCCCAGTCCAGTTTGCTGCAGCTCATGCCTCTCGTCAAAACACTCTAAAGGGCACCTTCGTCTCTCTTGGTAGATGAGCATCTAGGGGTGAACCATATTCTCTCGTCACGGGGTGTGCGTCAAGGGGACCCGCTCGGCCCACTACTCTTCGCGGCTGCGATTCAACCGTGCCTGCTTAGCACGACAACCTTCTTACCAGAAGTCGCCATAGTAGCCTACGCTGACGACATAATGATAGTGGGGCCGAAGGAGGCCTGCCACGAGGCTTTTGGGACCATCACAAGGGAGCTGGCAACCCTCGGCCTCCGCTGCAAGGTCGCAAAATCATCAGCATGGGGACAAACCCTCGAGGACAACGACGGCACGGCACCTACTACCGGCCTGCAGCACAACGCAGACGGGATTTGGGTTCTAGGCAGCCCAGTCAGCTCGCCTGCCTTTTGCACCGCCCAAGCACAGTCGAGGCTAGATGAGGCGTCGGCCCCATTACCTCTGGTGGCGCAGCTCCACCCGCAAAGCGCGATGCTCATCCTCACGAGGAGCATATCCCGCCGAATCTCCTACCTTCTGAGGACGACACCGGTGGAAGTATTGGAGAGAGAGGGGTGGAGGGGCTGGAGCGAAACACTGATGGCAGCAACACTAGCAGCGGCTAAGCTTCGGGTACCCCCAAACGAGCTGGAGAGGAGTCTGTTGTGGCGCCAGGGAACTCTACCGGTCAGGTTGGGGGGATTGGGGATTATTGACCCTGTCTCAGAGGCACCTGCCGCCTACATTGCCTCGGTCACAGCGGCGCAGCAACTCTTACGGCAGATGAACCTACCTGAGGCCTACCTCTTGAGCAGGGCGGTCGAGCTGCTGAACCACGAGTGGTCCCCTGACCCACCTGGTCTCAACCCGCTGACACCACTGGAAGCTGGGCTGCCCGTGGCTGCACGGGCGGCACTACACACCTACAGGGAGCAGCCGGCAGGGCAAGGGAACCTTCAACTGACCCTGTCTCGCCACATCAACGAGACAAGGCCGGCGGAGCTGTTGGCTGACACGATAGAGGACCGCCCAGGGAAGGACCGGGGACACGCAGTGCGGTTCATCAGCTTGCAAGGGGTGGGAGCGGGGGACTGGCTCCATGCCATCCCAACGAGATCTGACCTTACATTTGCCCCTGGTCAGTACTCGTTAGCACTTGGCTTACGCCTCGGCATGGCCCTCCCAGTCACAGTTGCCTGCCCGTGCAAGCGTGCCAACATGGCAATCTCCGACACGAGCCTAGCCAACCACCTCTTGAGGTGTGGTTACGGGGGAGATGTCATCCGCACGCACAATGCCCTGGTGTTCGCTCTGCTCCGGATGGCGAAGGAGGCCGACTTCACCGTCTTCCACGAAACCACTGCCTTCTCCCCACCGGTGATCAGGAAGAGAGGTGATCTCGCTATTCGTGACAAGGAGTCGTATGAGACATGGGTCACCGATGTGACAGTGACTGACCCGGTGCTGCAGTGCCGCGACAAACGGGCTCGGAAGCCTCCTGGATGGGCGGCAAGGGAAGCCTCGGAGAGGAAACACAGGATCTATGAGGGGCGGCCTGATTGCGTGGGTTTCTTTGGGTTGCAGTGGAGACGTACGGTGCCTTAGCTACGGATACACAGCAGTTTATCCGCCTGCTAGCAACCTCGGCGGCAAAAAGGAGGTTCCGCCAGGGGAGGCTCACCACCACCACTGCAAGACTCACCGCTCACTACAGGCAGCGTTTCAGTGTCATGCTCCAGCGCTCACAGGCGACGTCATTCCTGAACAACTCTAACATAGGTGACGTGGCAGCCTTCTCACAGACGGCTAGGGACCCTTGGGAACCTATCCTAGGGGACCTCTGGCAGGTCCTTGAGGATGAGATGGACGGAGTGATGGGTCAGTAAGCAGGATAGCTGCGGGCTAGGTGTGTAGCTGAGTGTTAGCAACCAGCTTTTCTTGCCTTGCCTTGTCTTGTTTGCCGTGCCTTGCCTTCCTTGCCTGGCCTTGCTTGCCCTGCTCGGCTTGGAGTTGCCTTGCCTGCCTGCCATGCCTGTTTGTGCCTTGCCTTGCCTTTCCTTGCCTCTTCTACCCTAAACCGTTGGTTGCCAGCCCAACCTCCCCCTGGCTACTAGTTGTGCCTACCTTGGCCTTGCCTCGCATAACTGGTTGCTCATAGGACTAGGCCTGTTAAGTACTTTGCTCTTGCCAATGCCTGTACCTCTATGAAACTATCAATGAAGGACTGCTTGAGAGAGAGAGAGAGAGAGAGAGAGAGAGAGAAAGAGAGACCCTTGGTCACTAAGTCTTTAGTCACTTCAACTTAGCCCCTTAGTGTAGACTAGTCCCTTAGTGTAGCCTACTCCCTAGTGGTTTCAGTTTAGTGCCCAGGTATATAAGGGCAAGGAGCCCACTTTCATTCTGATTGTTCGGTGGTGAGCCCATTCTCACTGCAAATCCAGCGGCTCGTTCAAGAGAGCGAGAGCGAGAGAGAGAGAGAGAGAGAGAGAGAGAGAGAGAGAGAGAGAGAGAGAGAGAGAGAGAGAGAGAGAGAGAGAGAGAGAGAGAGAGAGAGAGAAACGAGAGAACGAACTAAGCAGTGAGTTCCTAGTCTATTTGAATCTCTACCCCGTGCCGCGCAGTTTCCCGTAACTCACATTGGGCTTCACCCACTAGGCTTTAGGATTGGCCCTTCAGATTGCCCAGGGCTCGCCCTTGAATTTGTCCCACCCTGCGCCTCGCAAGTCCCTGAATCACCACTTGCGTCACTCCCCACGCACCAAACTCACCTTCTACAGTACTTCGCATAACCCAACTACACCTACACTAGCACGGGGGAGGGGGATCAACAGGCAGCATGGCCGGATATTGCGCAGTCAGGGGCCCACCAGCCGCGAGGAGGAAGAACAATCGCAGGAGGACGAGGGGCAGGATGGGCAGTTGGAGGAGGTGCCACGGGTGTCTGAGCAACACGCGGGGAATTGCTCTGGCTCGCCTGCCCGTTCCGCTCCTCGCGCACAGCAGCAGATACCGCGCGCTGCAGGTCAGCCATCGTCACCGGCGGATCATACCCCCAGCCGCCACCCCGCTGACGCGGCCCCCACCAGCCGCCTCGGCCACCGCGTTGCGCTGCCCAGTTCGCCTGGGAACCGCGGCGACGCGGGGAATTATGGCGGCGCCGGGACGTCTCGCGCTCGTCCTGCCGCGCGGGGGATTGGGGCCGCTGCTGACGACGGCCAGGAGACTGCGGACGCTGAGCGGACGGCACAGAGGGATTTGCCACCGGCGGCGCAACGGGAACGGCCACGGGCGGCGCAGACGGACCCGCCACGTGCGGAGCTGGTGGTGCAACAACAGTCGGAGCAACGGGAGCAACTTCAGGCGGCGCGAGAGGAGCGCCCACAGGCGGCGCAGGAGGCGCAACCACAGGAGGCGCAACCACAGGAGGCGCGGGAGGTACAGCCAGGCAGTGCAGGAGCAGATCCCGCCTGCACAGGCGGAGGAGGCGCCAGCGTCGGAGGCGGTGCAGACGGGGGAGCCGAAGAGGCGGGAAGCGCCGACTGGCCCTGGACGTCAGTGGTGGCGGACCCCTCCGACTGGGCTGCCACGCCGCCAGCAACAATCGCCCGCTCGGCAGCCGCAGACGGAGCGGCGCGGTCGGCAACTTGAAGAGCGCCAGGCGGAGCAGACGCATCAGACGTCGCAGCGAGAGGGACAGGCGGCGCGACGAGACGAGGTGCAGACAGCACGGGAGCCTGACGACCACCGTCGCCAGGCAGAGACGCTAGGGCCTCGCAAAACGACGATGCGGGGCGAGGAAGGATTTCAGCGTCTCCTGTCACGGGCTTCGGAGCAGGCAGCATCGGGGAGCCCATCGACATGGTCCCCGTTCCGGAGGCAAGCGGGGGCCTTTCGTACGCAACCGACGCAGCGCCAGCGCGCATTGGCGAATAATCGGTCGGCCCAGCAATCACCATCGAGGGGCCGAGGAGGACGAGGCAGAGGGAGAGTGACAGCTAGCGGTGAAGGAGGTGGACCGGAGAATGGCTTCCAAGCGGCGGGGAGACGGGCTTTAACAGCTCTAGAAAGGGCTAATGAGGAGGAGGATCAAGGGGACCCTACTTATAGGGAGGAGCCGCTCCCATTGAGTGAGGATGACGAGGAAGAAATGGATGTGGCTGTGAGGCCGCGGCCTGGGGGGCAAGCTGTTGAGCATGAGACGGGCGAAGCAGGAGGAGCGCAGCAAGCGAATCGGACGGCTACGATTCCAACCCACGGACAAGGCGATGCACCGAGGGGCGCGCGGAGGAATCAAGCCGCGCGCAATGGCAGCGCGACAGCAAATCAAACACATTGCCCCCGCTACTTCTCGCCAGGGGAATTGGCGAAGCGAACAGAACTGTTCGCAGCCATCGCTGATTGGGACTTGGCGGCCCTATGCGACAGTCGTCAGCCATCCCTGTCGCACCGATTACCGCCCAATTTGTGTCAGCTGTTTTCACTGGTGTTACTCACCCCGCTCCTTCACCTCGCGCGAAACCCGGATTCGGTCGCAGGGTGGCGACTACTGCTGTTTCTCCCTCGGCTCACACTTCGCCAAACGTCGCCAAGAAGACCGAAGTGGCCCGAAGTCAAAGCCCGTCTCAGAGCTTTCCAGCGTGGCGAATGGGAGCAGCTGTATTCTGACGCAATCGAAGTCATCAACACCCCACCGCCTCCACGTCACCAGCCTGACGAGGCGGGAGTACTCAGCAGGGCGGAGGGCCTGGCCAAGCGTGGAAGTCTACGCCGAGCCGTGCTGGCCCTCGAGTCAACCCCGGTCTGCACGCCGGGCCCAGCAATCCTGGATGAACTTCGCGCGAAACATCCGCGAGCCGTCGACGAGCAGCTGAGCTGGCCAACAACACCTGGCCCGAACCTGCAAATCAGCCAAGCCGATTTTGCCAAACTTCTGGATCGGTGCGAAAATGGGGTGGGGACTGGACCGTCCGGAACCGCATTCGAACACCCGCGCGACGCATCTGCAACCAACGCATCGGTCTGCACCCATCTGCATGCCCTAGTCAACACCATCCTGGCAGGCAAATTACCCGAGCCAGTGGCAGACCTGCTAACAGCGTCACGCCTAATCGCACTGTCTAAGCCAGGTGGGGGGGTTCGGTCAATTGCAATTGGCGAATGCCTGACGCGCCTCGCGGCCAAAGCAGCTCTGACCGCAATTGGGGAGGCTGCACGTGACCACTTCTTGCCACTACAGTACGGGGTGGCGGTGCCAGGGGGAGCCGAGGCAAACATCCATGTCGCACGTGCCTTCGTAGACTCGAGAGACAGCTGCGTGGTGTTACAGACCGACATTTCAAATGCCTTTAACAGCATCTCGCGACAGGCAATCATCGACGGGTTACGCGACAACAGCCTTTCGTCACTGCTCCCACTGGTCCGGCTAACGTACGGTAACCTGTCGAAGCTGTACCTCGACTCGAAATTCGCCAGCCACCCGCTAAACAGTGAACGTGGCATGAGGCAGGGGGACCCACTCGGCCCTCTACTGTTCGCAGCAGGGATACACCCAGCCCTTCACGAAACTGCCGAAGCACACCCCCACGTACTCTGCTTGGCGTATGTAGACGACGTGACATTTTTGGGGGATGACACGGATACTGTAGCAGCAGTCGATTTCTTCACCAGCAAGCTAGCGCAACTGGGGCTAAAACACAACCCGCAGAAATGTGCCGCATGGAGCACAAACGGCGACGAGTCCACGCAGCTGCCACCAGGGGTCCCGCTTTCAAAGGACGGGATACGCCTTCTAGGCAGCTTCCTGGGGCCAGCGGCCGGCGCCGCCAAATTCCTTGCGGGGCAGCTAGACGAAATGGCGAGGCCGCTGCCGCTCCATCGCGAAAAAGGACTTGCCAGAAAGCTGCGGGAAAGTTGCAAAAAGGATACTTTTTGGATACCTTGGTTTTGCAACTTTCCAGTGATGGTCAAATGTTGCAGAAATCGTGGTTGCGGGAAAGTTGCGAAAATGTTGCATTCCTGCAACTTTCCCGCAACACAACCGCAACTTATCGGACAATCTTTGGACACGTTGTATATACATTTCAGTCACATGTATGCAGTTTCACCACCTGCCACGTGGCATGCGTACAGTTTCGACTTCGAAGTGAACGTACGCCGGTACGTTCGTGAAGATATTTTGCCACGTCAGCTACGATATTTCTGCCACGTGTCATTCGCGATATCTGGACTCAGGCGTGACACTTGGACCAATCAAACAAGTTGTGCGAACGTGGGAAAATTGATTTTAACAGGCCGCCGAATTGTCTGAAATCGGAGCATGCGTTTTAGGTACAGGTGTGTTTAAAAGTAATCAGTTTATACACTATATGTATTCTCTTGCACATTTGCATGCATACTTATCAGCATACACAGAGCACGATCTAGGCGAAAAACCAACACAGCTAATGCAACGACTACAGATCTTCAGGTCTCAATGGCAGATGAATATAGGGCGAAATCACGCTTCGTTTGCGGGCCTGCAAACAGAGATACGACATAGTGTTAGACATGGGTTAGTAGTCAGTAATTGTTCCCTACCTCACTGACCTACCGCCCGCGGGCCTTGAATTGAACTGATAACATTGCCATGAACAAGATTGACAACTCTGCGAAATCCCTGCGAAAAAAAAAAAATGTATATATATCTCGTGGCAGCCACTGACTCTGCAACGGTCTTGGTACCACACAGGAGAAGACAGCTAAACGTTAGCGTTAGAGGCTGGATGGTATATAACTCGATACGAGCATGGGGAAGAAGCCACGACGATTTAAGAGATTTGCAAGCGGAGGCAAAGCGAGACCGAAGGCCTTCCCGCATGCAGAGAGCGTGCCGACGATCTGTGTATTGGGTGGATATGAAGCGGGAACATCAATGTAACTGATTAAAGTGGCACGGTGCAGCGCAGTTCAATACAAGAGAAAATGTATCTGCATTCATTGCGGGAAGAACGAGAGGAAAACGAGAACTGAAGAAGCCTAACAAGTGCGAATAAATGACAAGTGAGGATCACAACAGGAGTGAGGAGAATCGTTTGTAAAAAAAATCACGCTTTCAGCGCATAACACGGCGCTTCCGCTGCCGGGCAACGCGCTTTACGGCGCACTGTTCGTAGGTAGACGGGTGCTGAGTCCGCGGCGATTCGCGCGCAGAACGTCCTCTGCGTGGGGAGCGCAAGTCGATGAGCTGTATATGGGACGGGAGGTAGAAAAGAAGGGGACAGATGCAGGCTGAGACGGTAGATCTGGACAGATAGTAGCTTGAATACATACTTCCTATACTAGATTATTACACACACAGAAGGAAGAGCATACGGTATACGCTAGTTGATGCGTGAGGGGATATTCAGAGGCACGATATGCAGGCTGGACTGGAAGAATAAGCTGAGAAAGTTGTGTGACCAATGAGCTACGCAACTAGCGTGTTGTGTGAATACGAAAGAGAGATGCTTCTAGAGCTCCAAAGTGTGATGATGTGTCTTCACGGATGCCGTAGATTTCTGGTACTAGCATACATCGCACCAGTAATTGGTTAGTAAAAAATCATGAAGGTGGGGATAGCTCAATTCCGGTTACCTAAGGTGTGATCCGGGAAGCCACGTCACTTGAACAGAATCTGAACACTTACATTGATTGGGTGTGACATGGAACTGTATGCCAGCTGCCAGTTCCGATTCTGGGTTGTGCCTTCGTGAGCCTCGTCTGAGGTTGTATCCCAGTTACTGTGCTCGCCACGTTCGACAATGCCTGCCTGATTCGTGCTGTAGTGTTCATCGATCATACACCAGCAAAGGGGACTCCCGAGATTTGGTCGGACAAAGGTGTACTGTTCGGTGAAGATGTTTCAAGTTTGATGTGTGAAATTCGCGGCTCGGTAAACCCACGTATACAAAATTTGCGCCCCGGCTGACCCACGTAGCTCATGTTCGCGGCTCGGAAGCCAGCTTGTATCCGAAATTGGTGCATGTTGCGGTTTTCACTCAGTGCTTTTGGGATACTTTTCAGGTAGGTTTCTGCAACTTTCCTGCAGCTTTCAGACTTAAACTCGATTTTGAGCCAAACCCTTTTCCGCGATGTCTTAGAACGGGCCGACCCCCAAGTCGCCTCCCTGCTCCTGACCCGCTGCATTTCCAGACGTGTAGCATACCTCACTAGGACCACACCGCTGAACCTTCTTCCACGAGACACCTGGGCACAGTGGGGGAGAGACCTCCTAGCCGCGCTCCTGACATCATGCGGGATTAGAGTCCCTACCTGTAGCACGGAGCAGACGAGAGTGTGGGCGCAGGCCTCGCTTCCATCATCTCTGGGCGGGCTAGGAATCACGGACCCACTCGTAGAAGGCGTCTACGGCTTCGTAGCCAGATTCACACAGGCCGCGCTCTTCTTTTCCTCCCTGACGCTAGCACCAGACACCGCCCTGACCCGAGCACACAGCCACATGATTCTGCCCCGGGACGTCACCACACCGCTTCATTCCTGGCTCACAGAGTGCGAGACAGCCCTGCCCTCAGACGCACGCGACGTAGTTGATCAGGAGCGGCTCTCTCGGTCGGACATCAAGCTCCAGCACACGCTGGCCCTCAAAGTACAGGGGAGTAGGTACGCGGTACAGGTCCAGGAGACGAGGCGAATGAGACTGAATCCACTCTCCGGGCACACACAGAGAATGTTCTCACTCACAGGCTACGGCACAGGGACTGGCTGACGGCGGTACCGGTAGCTTCCTCAAGACGCATAGGCCCGGTACACTTCAGCAATGCCGTGCGCTTCCGGTTGGGCCTCCCTTTCTCTACTCCTAAGAATTGTGATTGTGCAGACCACACCGCTATCACAGACCCGCGCCTCCCCAACCACCTCTTCCGCTGCGGCACGGGGAAGCACCGTATGAATACTCATAACGAACTTCGCGACGCATGCATCAGCATGGCGCAAGACGCGGGGTTCATAGTACACAGGGAAACCAACGTCTACTGCCCCATAGAGGAGCAGACATCAGACTTTACCATGACGGACAGAAGCAGTGGGCCGGTTTGGGTGTGTGATGTGACGGTCACAGACCCTATTAGTACCAGGGACCCGGAAGCGCGGAAAGGCAGGGGCTGGGCAGCCCGGGAGCAGGCAGACAAGAAGATCAAGCACTATGAAAACCTGCCCGAGACAGTGGGCTTCTTCCCTCTCGCAGTAGAGACCTACGGCTGCCCTTGTGCTGAGGTCCCTGTGTTCCTGAAACTCCTTGCAGACACGGCGGCTCGGCGATACTTCAACGCCGACTCCAAATCCTTTCATGCCGCGAAGTTCCTGCACCAGTTCAGGCAGAGGTGGTCGGTTGCACTGCAGAGGGCCCAATCTGTGGGTCTCTTGATCAAATTAGGAGAGGCGGCTGCTGCAGAGAACCCGCCTGTAGGGGGGATAGGGCAAGAATTATACCTGGGGGACTGTTTCAGTGTCCTAGAGCCTCTCCTTGAGCTCTAGGTGACTTAGGGGGGCTGGATAGTCTAGGCTACCTTGCATGTTAAGCACCCTGCTGTCGCTCATTGCATGTGTGTACCCTTCTGGCTTATCAATATACGGACCATTAGAGAGAGAGAGAGAGAGAGAGAGAGAGAGAGAGAGAGAGAGAGAGAGAGAGACCCTTGGTCACTAAGATGCACCTTGGGGACTGCTTCGTGGTGGTTGAGCCTTTTCTGGAGCTCTAGAGGGGAGGGTGGTGCGAGTGTTGTGTGACTGGTTTGCGTTGTTTGTTTGTCAATTTGGTTAGCTAGACCTTGCACTATATACCCTGCATGTTTGTACCTTCAAACTCTATCAATATACGGACCATTAGAGAGAGAGAGAGAGAGAGAGAGAGAGAGAGATAGAGAGAGAGAGAGAGAGAGAGAGAGAGAGAGAGTGGGAGGGAGACCCTTGGTCACTAAGTCCTTAGCCACTTCAGCTTAGTCCCTTAGTGTAGACTAGTCCCTTAGTGTAGCCTACTCCCTAGCTGTTTCAGCTTAGTGCCCAGGTATATAAGGGCAAGGAGCCCACTTTCATTCTCATTGTTCGGTGGTGAGTCCATTCTCACTGCGAATCCAGCGGCTCGTTCGAGAGAGCGAGAGAGAGAGAGAGAGAGAGAGAGAGAGAGAGAGAGAGAGAGAGAGAGAGAGAGAGAGACCCTTGGTCACTAAGTCCTTAGTCACTTCAACTTAGCCCCTTAGTGTAGACTAGTCCCTTAGTGTAGCCTACTCCCTAGTGGTTTCAGTTTAGTGCCCAGGTATATAAGGGCAAGGAGCCCACTTTCATTCTGATTGTTCGGTGGTGAGCCCATTCTCACGGCGGCCGGCGCTCGACAGCGCGGCCTTCGGCCGCGCGTGAGGGGACGGCAAGTTACAACAACACTAAAGGGGAGATATACAAGATGCAGCACTAGAAAGGACCAACAGAACAGGGGCAAGGTAAGTAGGAGAGTCTAACATGGGGAACAAGAAGACAAACAACGTCGCCAAGAAGGAGCGGGGCGCTACACGCGGTTCAGCACGTAAAACCGCCAGCGCATCCAGCGCAAGAGAACAGCGAGCGCAGGCACGAGCTCAAGGGGAGACTCCTCCGCAGCCTTGGCTACCTGCCGGAAAGCCCGCGCGCCAGGGCCCTCGTCCTGCTTGGGGAACTCGGGCTCCAGGGGCAAACGGAGGAGGCGCCAGAGACCCTGCGCCGCCGCCTCCCGGACTACACCCTGCTGGGGCTCCGTCAACTGAGGATCACGGAGAACGAGGTTCCGCGCCACCAAGCCGGCGTGCAACTGCTCGAGAACGGTCGCCACGTGCGACATGCACTCCCCAACCGCCACCATCCGCTTCTCCCAGTGAAGGATGTCCTTCACAACATCGGACTGGATGTCCCACTCGCGACCCCACAGAGTCGCAGGCTAGGGGGGGGACTCCCACAGCTCCCCATTCCACCACCGCTCGCCGTCCTCGAGGTCAGGAGCATCGGGAGGAAGCTCAGGAGATCGGGCACGAGGAGGAGGAAAGCGAGCCTCAGGAACAGGCCTAGACGGAACCAGGGGATGCTGCCGCTGCGGGGGCTCGACGGGAGGAGGAGAGGCGGAGGGAAGCGGCGAAGACGGGTGGCTCACGAGGGGTGCCCCGGCCGACGACGACAACGGAGGAGGCGCCAGAGGAGGAGAGGAGGAGGGCGGCGGAGCAGGGAGCGGGGCCGACACCGCAGGGGGAGCCGGCGACAGCGATAGAGGGGGCACAGCGACGCCAGACGACAGCTGCTGTGACAACTGCAGCGACACAGCCGGCGACAGTACGGACGAAGCACCGAGGCGCAAGAAGGACGGCGGCGGGGGTTGCAGGGGGCCCACAATCTCCCTCTGGACGGCGGGGGCAGGACGAGGCGGACGGCGGCGACGGAACGAACCACCGCGGGCCCGGAGGTGGGGATGAGTCCGCCCGCAGGGAGAACGATAGATCGGCTCACGGTGCCGGGCGGGCTTCCCGGCCCCCTCGTGCTCGACCAGCGCAGCGGCGGCCCGGAGAAGGACTGGTGCCAGCCCTTCCGGGGCCCTCGACGGGCTGGGAGCAGCAGAGCCCACCTCGCGGTCCGGATGGGAGGGACGGCGACGTTTGCCCGTCATCACGGCGGGACCTGCAAGCACAGCCGGATCCAGAAGAGGAAAGACAACACGGAGGTCAGACCGCCGCACGACGGCAAGAGCAGGGAACCGAGGAAGGGGAGGCCCAGGTAGCAGATCAACTTGAGCAGAACCAGGAAGAAGAGGTGGCGGCTATCCTGACAACGGTGTGGCGAAGGCAGAATAACGAAACCAACAGACAGAGGGTCTTACGAGAGCAGGCGGAAGAAAGGGCGAGAGGTCTGCAGCCGCGAAACGCGGCGGGAAACACGGCCACGAGGGGGCACGGGAGGGACCGGGGCAGAGGAGGATGGGTGGGCGAGCTTGCGAGAGCCGTAGCACGGGAAAAAGCCAGATCGGGAAACTGGCGGGAAAGGCACGGGAGGCTAGAGGAGCAGAGTGAAGGACCAATGAATGACCAGGCAGAGGAAGAAGAGTCGGAATATATGGAGGAGGAAGAGGCCGAATCGGAAGAGGTGTCTGTGGAGGCCGAGGATGGCATCCCAGCTGGCAATGAGGGGAGACGCCGACGTAGCGGACGCCGAGGACAAGAAGGAAATAATCCTGAAGGGGATGGGCAGGTGGGCGAATCACCAGCCCAGCGGTCGAACGAATCTGCCAGCAAGGAGCGCTCTCCAAAGGACATCGTGGAGGATGATGACACATGGCGGGCGATCGAGGGGTGGGATCTGGACCCACTGCGAGCCAGCTCCCAACCATTCCTGGTCAGGAAGCCCCCCCCGGAAATCCTGAAATCATACAGCCACTGCCTGACGATCCCCCTCCTGCGACTCTCGAAACACCCGGCCTGCATAAGCGCGTGGAGGGTGCTGCAATTCCTACCACGGCTTACACTGAGGGCGAATACGGAGAAAGTGCTGGGAAACAGCCTCGACACAGTGGAGAAGAGACTTCGACAATTCCGAGATGAGGATTGAGGCTCGCTGTACCTCCAAGCCTGCACCATCCCGGACAATTCCCAACCAAGCAGACACGAGCCCGACGCAGAGGGCATATGCGCGAGAGTAGAGGGGTTGGTCCGGAAGGCCAACCTGGCGAAGGCTGCAGCAGCGTTACAAACCACCCCGGTGGCAGAGCCGTCGCAACAGGCACAGGAAACACTCCAGGCGAAACACCCGCGAGCGGAGGTGGCGATGCCGGAAGGGCTGGGGGGTTACGGTGAAACAACACTCACCATTGGCACAGATTCATTCCGTGACATCTTGGCGAAGTGCCCAAATGGAATCGGCGCAGGCCCATCAGGCACTTGCTTCGAACACCTACGCGACCCTGCCCTAACAAACGGAGAAGTCTTCTTCCTGCTGCACCAAGTGGTCAATAATCTACTAAGCACATACCAGAGCGCGCCGCTAAGAGAGCTACCGTCGAGGCTAATCGCCCTAGAAAAACTGGATGGCGGAGTGAGGCCGATAGTGATTGGGGAGGCGATCCTTAGGCTAACGGCAAAGGCGGCGCTACGGGAACTGTCCGGGGAGATCCGGTCACATTTCTTGCCAGTACAATACGGGGTGGCCGTACCGGGGGGAGCGGAGTGCATAATACACACGGCCCGTACGCTGCTGGCAGAGGACCCGACGAGAACAATATGTTGGAATCACTGAACAGGAATGAATGAACTAGCAATGAAAAGAGTACAAGTACCTAACCCTAGAATTGTGTACCCCCTATAGGCTAACCCACTGTAGCCTAAACTAACACAACATATATAATGTTTGACACACCCCCATAGGCAAAGTGGGGAGAACTAGGGGTCACAAGACCAGTCAAGGCAAAGCAAGGCAAAACAAGCTCAGGGTGGATCTCAAGGATACCACACAAATTCCGAGCACAAGCAAGTGGTCACAAGACCAGTTCACATGCAGGTTTATATATAGAGATCACAGTACAACAGACTCAAGAAGTAAGCAAGTGAGGTCCAGTAGGCACAAGGCCTAGAAGAGTGCAAAAGCGCTGATGGTCACAAGGCTGAAGCGCCTTGGTGAACACATCAGCAGTGTTGGCCTCAGAGGCCACGTAACGCAGGCGAAGCTGACCACGCTGCTGCAGCTCTCGAGCGAGGAAGTAACGCAGAGCAATGTGCTTCGTTCTGTGCTCCAGTCTGTGCTCCTCACACAAGGCAATGGCTGCCTTGTTGTCGACGTACAGCACTGGAGGAGAACGAGGCTGCTCTCCAAGGTCGGTCAGCAAGTAGGTGAGCCAGCGTAGCTCCTGGGCCGCCATGGCTGTGGCGTAGATCTCAGCCTCACAACTGGAGCTGAGAACAGAAGAAGAGCGAGTAGAACGCCAAGAAACAGAACCAGAGCCAAGACTGAAGGAGTAACCCTGAGACGACCGCTGAGTAGCCTGGTCGTCTGCCCAAGAAGCGTCTGAGTGCCCAGTGAGAACAACTGGGACTCGCCCTCCAAGCACTAGCCCCATGCCCGACGTACTGCACAAGTAGCGCAACACCCTCTTAGCTGCATCCATGTGCTCCTTCCGGTGACGGCCGGGAGCGACATAGCGTGCAAGAATGCTGAGAGGGTATGCAAGGTCTGGTCGAGTGCAGGTCATCAGGTACATGAGGCAACCCACAAGCTCTGGATACGGGCCACTCGGCTCTACGGACTCATCCGAAGGCAGAGCTGAGAGCGAGTGACCGGTAGGCAGAGGAGTGGGCTGAGGCGAGGAGTACGTGAAGCGGAAGCGCTGAAGGACCTGCTGCACCATGTGTGACTGAGTCAAGGTGATGGTGCGGCGTGCTCTGTCCCGGGTGATCCGCAAGCCAAGATAGCTTGTCAGTTCACCCAGGTCTGTGCACGTGTGTCTCTTCTGCAGCTCCGACTTCACGTGGGCGAGTGCCACAGTGTCAGCAGTAGCAAAGACCAAGTCGTCGACGTACACAAGGACGTAGAACGGCGGCAGTGAGGTGTCGGTGCGTAGAAACAGCGACGGGTCAGCAGTAGAAGGCGCGAACCCAAGAGCCGCAAGCGTAGTCCTCAGCGTGTCGTGCCACTCACGAGGCGCCTGGCGGAGACCGTAGACTGGCCGTCGGAGGCTCCACTGGGTACCAGGAGGGAACGACCCAGTGAAGCCAGGTGGACGGCGCAGCCAGATCTCCTCGTGCAGGCTGCCCTGCAGGAAAGCAGTGCTGAAGTCAAGCGAGTGGAGCTCGTAGTCACGCTGAGCGGCGACGTGCAGCAGAACCCGAAGAGTGGTCATCTTCGGGGTCGGGGAGAAGGTCTGGAAGAAGTCAACTCCCTCGCGCTGACTGAAGCCTCGTGCAACGTAACGCGCCTTGAAGACAGGCGGAGAACCCGGCGGCCGCTTCACCCTGAAAATCCACATGCCACTGACGATGTTCGCCCCAGGCGGGGGAACCTCGTCGACGTAGGTGCCTGTGGACTTCCAGGAAGCCATCTCTGTGTCCATGGCTGACTGCCACTGAGAGGAGTAGGGACCGGCCATCGCCTCTGCGTAAGAGCGTGGGGTCGGGATGTCTGGTGCATCCGGGTCTCCCTCAGGGGCAACAAGCATGGACACGAGATGGGGCAAAGCGGCAGCAAAGCACTGGAACTCCTCCTGCCTGTCCTCAAGGACGTCAGTGCCAAGAGCACACTCACCCCCGACGGACGGAGGACAGACAGACTCAGACTCAGCAACTAAGGCAGACGCAGCAGTAGACTCAAAGGAAGGGTCAGTGACAACAGTGGCCAGGAGACGCGTGACAGCAGGACTGGTAGCACGAAGAGAGTCTGACCCAGGGTCAGGAAGAGCAGGACGAGAGGAAGCAGGAGGAGACGGCAGTGGGACACGCTGTGGAGCAGTGGACGGACGAAGCGCCATCCGGTGAGTGCCTGGGACAGCAGGAAGACGCTGACGCTGGACTCGACGACTAGAGAGAGCAGTGCGGACAGGCGACCCAGGACGAGACTCAGGCGACGCAGGACGAGACGCAGGCTCACGCCGCTCAGTAAGACCTCCAGTCGGACCAGTGTAAGGAGCAGGACCAAGGAGAGAGGAGGCAGACGGTAACGCCGACTGCAGCTGGACAGGCTGAGGACACTCTAAGGAGGGAGGAGGAAAAGGAGGAGGAAGCTGACCAAGAACCTGCTGAAGGAGCGGAACAAAGTACGGCTGAGACCGAGCAGCGACACCAGAGCCAGCAGGGACACCCGCACCAGGGTCCGCAGCACCAGCAGCAGCTCCAGCGCCCACGTCCTCAGCACCAGCGGTAGCTCCAACGCCCGGGTCCTCAGCACCAGCAGTAGCTCCAACGCCTGGGTCCTCAGCACCAGCAGCAGCTCCAACGCCCGGGTCCTCAGCACCAGCAGCAGCTCCAACGCCCGGGTCCTCAGCACCAGCAGCGGCTCCAACGCCCGGGTCCTCAGCACCAGCAGCAGCTCCAACGCCCGGGTCCTCAGCACCAGCAGCGGCTCCAACGCCCGGGTCCTCAGCACCAGCAGCAGCTCCAACGCCCGGGTCCTCAGCACCAGCAGCAGCTCCAACAGCAGCGGGGTTCGTAACACGAGGCACGCCACTCCGAAGAGTGCAGCGCCGCTCGTACCACTCACGGATCCGCTCGCGGGAGGGGAGCTCCCGAACGGGAGAAGAAGTACTAGCACCAGTCCCAGTAGTACGTCCGGCTCGAGCGGTACCTCTCCGGAGGCTGCAGTACTCTAAGTACCACGCACGTAGCTGCTCCGAGGAGAGGGCTCCTCCAGGTGCAGGACTCCCAGACCTCGTACCTCCAGACGCAGAACCCCCAGACTCCGGACTCCGCAGCTCAGTACCACGAGGCTCCACACCCCCAAGCTCAGCACCCTCAAGCTCCACACCCCCAGGCTCCACACCCCCAGGCTCCACACCCCCAGGCTCCACACCCCCAGGCTCCACACCCCCAGGCTCAGCACCCCCAGGCTCAGCACCCCCAGCAGGACGAGAGTCGACAGCTACCTCAACAGGCTCAACCGGGTCTACCTGAGACACACCTGAGGGAGCGGCACCCTGAGGGGGGAGGGGGTCTGCAACAGCAGCACCTGGCGAGAGGAAGAGAGGCGGGGGGGGGAGCGGGGCAGTGCGGTAGGGGAAGAGGCGGTAGTAGGGGACGGACTCGTCAAAAGTGACGTCCTGGGAGGGCAAGACTCGGCGCGAGGTGGCGTGGTAAAACTGCCAACCAGACGCGTCCGGGACAAAGCCGAGGAAGACGCAGGGAACAGCACGGGAGGAGAGCTTGTCCGCAGACGAATCGCGGACAAAAGCTCGAGACCCCCAGACCCGGAAACGCGACGCATCGCCAACCTCCCCCGTCCACAGTAGCGTGGGCGAGGTCTCCGGCAAGGAGACACGGGGCCAGAGGTTGAGTTGATGCGCAGCGTACCGGACCGCAAACGGCCACAGAAAGTGGGGGGCAGCCGCATGGATCAAGGAGGTACGGGCGACCTCCATGACCAGGCCAATGCGGCGCTCCGCAACCCCATTCTGCTGTGGAGAAGCCGGAAGCGTGAACGACTGCTCAATGCCGTGCTCAGCACAGTAGGCTGCCAAGAGGTCGGAGGAGAACTCACCACCTCTGTCAGAGTGCAAGCGCAGGACAGGAAAGTCCGAGTGAAAACGCTCGCTGAGCTGGAGACGGGCTCGGCGGATCCAAGGGATCAAGACATCAGGGACCTCACCCTTGGTGCGCAAGGGGAAGACCGAGGTGTAGCGCGAGTAGTCGTCAACAACTATCAGGAAGTACCTCTCCTGACCCTGACCACGGACGCGGGCTGGGCCCCACACGTCCATGTGGAGTGTCTGCAAGGGAGCAGTCGTCGG